TGTTGTAAAATTCAAAAGAATATATGTACATTTTGATTTTTTTGGATGCAATAGTATTTTATTAAAGATTAATTTTATATTTTAGTAAGTTTATTAAAGAATGACGACCATAAGATATTTATATTTCCTTTTCTTATTATTATCAGCACTTGTTATAGATTTTTCTCACTACAATTGTTATTGTCCTTTGAATATTTCTACCATGGTTTAATAGTATTCGAAAGTAACAGAAACCTTATCATTTATAAACATGTACCAACCTCTCTTGTTTATATTGTGGTCAACAACTTTTTACTGGGTATAACTTTTATTTGCACTTATTTTGTTTGGAAATAATTGTACCATTTAAATAACTTTTTATCTCAGCTGCATCGAAGATTCAAAGGAAAATATTAAAAATCAAAATAGACTTGTCTTCTATGCGGCGCACAAATCCCTCGGCTAATACCAGACTTGACAAACGACATGTGAACATCCCCCGATTTCTCTCTAGCCTGACATTCGGAATTATGCTGCAGTTGATTTCACCATAAAATTAAATCCAATGCCAAGGTCAAATGGCACTCAGATGCTGCGGCTACGGCTCACCCCTGTTTTTATATCCCCCAACCACTCTGATATCACGCCGGTATTCCACTTAGAATGTCAAGCGACTCACGCGTCGCAATGTTTGAGATTCAATGGGGATGGGGTGCTGACACGACGATCAAGATGGGGTTGGTGCGAGGGGATGCTCACTGTATATATGGTGCTATGCACTTGAACAACTCAAATTGCCTTTTTCGCATTGTGCTGCATAAAACATGCAGCGTGCTACATAAATATTCCATGCATTAAAAGCAAACGCATTAAAAGTCACGAGTAAATCGCCTAACGAGCAGCGAACTCTACTCTGAGATAACCTTTTTACAGATTTTTAAGTATGGACAGCTATGGTCAAACAAATAGGGTTCACAAATTATAAAAAAAAGTTAAGAAGATCATAGGTATCATAAGATAAATAGTAGTTTTTTAACAGATATATAAATTAAAAACGTTTATTAAACTAACATTAAAAAAAAATATTTTTGCTAGTTAAAAAATTTTGATAGTCAGGGCTAGTAACAAATGAGTGTATTCTTAGATTTAATATTCTTTTTTAAGAAATGTAAAATTTTTTTAACATTAAAATTAAATTTTTCATTTCAAACCAAATTTAATTACCCCTTTTACTTTGACCCCAACTGTACACAACTGGCACACGTTTATATATTCGTATTTTAGCGCTTTATAATCACGATCAGATATCCAACTGAAATTGCCAATTTAATGTGCGCATCAACTAAAAATAAATAAATATAAAATTGCCAATGCTTTTGACGCCGCCGCGACTTCGTTGCCATCAACGCGTTCACTTAGCCAGCAAATAAATAAATAAATGCACACAACAAAAAATTAATTATTATTGTTCTTGAGTTGTTGTATTTTCGGTTTCAGTTCCTCGACTTTGACTTCTTCTCCTTATTATTCACTCCTACGTTTTTATGGCGAAACTTTTACGACACTTCGCCTGTTTGCCTGACCCCGCACTCTTTTCCTTTATTTGTTTTTATTATTTTTATTATGGCTTTCGATTGTTCCAGGAAAAATTCAAGGGATTTTGTAAATTTGATTGCGTTGCTATATGCACGTTTATAGATAAAAAGTTATATATGTACATAGATGGTACACTTGTCAGTCACAAACGCTTTCATTGATTGGCTTTTGGAAAAATGTATATATAATACACTTTATTAGAGCTGATAAAAACAAGCGTAAATATCATTTTTACTGTTCATAAGAAAACATGGAAAATAATCAATCGTAAGCTTATTTTCCTTGAATAAAAGTGACAAAGTTGTGATTCCAGTTATGTTGAAACTGTGTTCACTGATATTTGCAAGAAATTCAGTGACAATTTATAACTTTTTATATGATAAACGAATAAGTATACTATAGTAGTAGGTTTTTTCTTAAATTAACTATATACGCCATTAAAAAAAAATTTTTAAATTATTTTTAAATTATTCTACTATTTTTTTTTATAATGTACTTCAATTTTGAAAGTCAGAATTGATACAGTCCAAAAAAATGGCTATGACTTTGAAGAAACCATGTAAGCTAATTTGGACGATGAATATGCAGTTTATACTAGCAGATTCTTATCAGCTCTTTTTATGAATTTTTGTGTTATCTAGATCTACAAAGCTCCTACTCTTTGTTCTTTCTGGAAATTTACCTTTTCAATTAAGGGGATCCACAAGAAAAAAATATAAATCCCGTATCTGCACTTAAAAGACCGTTTAGCTTGTGCATTTTGGCGCTACGCTAATGAAATTATCTCATGACGTCAATGGCTTAAAGTTAGCTTAGGCTATGGCCTTTAAAAAAAAAACCAACTCTAAAGTTGAGAAGCCGGTTTTCGAACTCGGTTCGTTTGAGAGCCAAATTTGGTCACTCGATTGCTCGTCGGAATGACGTCACAAGTTGAGAGAAAGAGAAAAGCGATCGCTTTTCAATTTCGATACCTATGAATGTATTCCCCCCAAAAACCGTGCATTATGTCATCATGTATTTCAAATTAACTGTTAACGATAAATATGGAAACAACAAAAAGAAAATGTCAAAAGTTGCGTGTTTTCGCACCAGCTTTCCATTTTCTCGGAATCAAAATGGGGACGTAATGGGAGTGAAAAGACAGCGAAATAAATGCGTTTATCATGAGCGTTGTTTGCAGGGGGATGTGGGGTCAACCTGTTTCGATGCGATTTAGATAGTGCACTGATAGTGCTTATCTTTTGTATATAGACACCACACAAATTAAGAGTCATGCCTTCATCTGAAATTGATAAAGATAGTTAGCGCAAAAGTAAACACATAATCAAATCCCACCGATTATTGTAAAATGTGTTTAAGATTGCGAGAAGCATTAGTTAAAAGAAGGCATACAAATAAATGTAAAAAAATGGCTATTTGTATTAATTTTAATTTATTTTAATTTAAGGAGAGTTTTTTAATAAATAATCCGTTACGAATTTTATATCATAACCCTTGAAATATTTCAATGACCCCGCTACTGTTCTGCACCGGTCCATTAATTTGTTTCCGTGGGTTTAATGAACCTTCTAGAAGAGGTGACTTAACGCGAAAGGTAAAATGTGGGTGGTGGCCACTGCCACAGCTAAATGCTAAATGCCAGTTGCCCAATGCTCGAAGTTAGGCCCTATATTCCCCTAATTGAGTTATACATCCACCATACAACTAATTCCTGGCGGAAATGGCACATGCCGGCAAAATGGGATTGGGAAACGGGTGTGGAATTGGCTTGGATTGCCCGGTGGAATTGGAGCACATCTGGAACCGAGTGGAGTGTGGCTAAAAATGCACTCGCCACTGAAAGATTTACAAGCCTCGCAATCCTGTTTGCTGCCGCGGGTTCTCCCAAAATGCACTTTGTGACGCGTCATCCAGCGCGGAATTCCGAGAAGAGGCGCAGCATCAGGCAGCGGCATTCCAGAGGTCGGAAGGGATGTCTCGCGGGGGCAGGAGGAAAAAGGGGGACTCCACCATCAACTTCGATTCGCCACGGCGTTGAAAAGTGCGAAATGGGGGAAAGATAAAGCCAAAGGAAATTATCGGGAACTGACGCCCGACCAACAGCACACACAGCACTCCCCAGATTGTGTCAACTCCTTTAAAATGCAACTGAAAACTAGGGGTATTTTGGTTGAGTAGGGATCTTGACAAATGTATCCGCAAAAGTTCATAAAGTTTCCCTGTTCAATGTCGGAAAGACACTTATGTATGTATGTTATATTTTCAGCATTTTAAATATATTTATACCTTGTAGGTGCCCCAATTTAAGGAATATTCTAAATTAATAACACATACATTTTCTGAAACATTCTGACCATAAGTTTTTACTGGGTTTTGGCTTAAAAAATTACTAGATAAATTTGTTCAACCAAAAGTTTTTCGTGATTTATAATATCCCATTATTAATTGATAAGTCCTTAAACAATTTAATTATGCTGCTAACCCGTATCCTTATATCATTTTTCAAGTTTGCTTATGAGGTAATTCTTTGTCGAGTCGTATCCTCTATATTTTTTTATCAAAGCCCTAATGCTTGGGGGGAATTTCGCAATGCTGCATTGGGATTTCCATCGCCATAGCCTCGAATCGCCTGATTTTGCCTGGCTTCCTCTCTTTATGCTGAGTGCACTAATTTGCGAAACTCTCTGTTGAATCACTCGCTTTTTACTCAGCCCAGTCACTCAATCTTCGAGTGAAACCGAGTGCCAAACGAGTTTTGTTGACTACGTACGATATTTGCTTTGCAAGTGGGTGCCAAGTGTGGAGCTCTGAGCCCTAGGCCGTGGCCCGTCCCCTCCCACCTTCCCTCTCTCCCACACCAAGTGGGCCAAAATGGAAAACAGAAAAAACAAAACGCACGAATTCTGGTTAAAACGCCGATGAGTCATCACGGCGTTGTGTGTGGAATCGGTTGTAGCTTTTGCCCGTCCATTCATAATCGCGTTTACTGAATGAACGAACATCTATATAGGCACACACGAATCGGCGTCTTTATAAACAAATATATATAGTACCTACAGCTGCGGTCGAGATAGTAGACAAATTACGGAATTTCACAATTATAGAATACTAAAAAGTCAACAAAATTGTTACATTTAGCTGGTTTTAATTAGCTCATTATACTTATACTTTGTAATAAATTTTATTTAATATTTCAATGATAGTATAATTTTAACGTCTTGATGTGATCTTATATTCAAAATATTAGGAAAATTGGTTTTCGTTGAAGTCAACGCTGCGTATGAGTGATATATTTGAAAGTCACATTTAATATTCATTAAACTATATTTTGTATTTATTTTAGTGTTATGCCCGCTTAAATTGTAATGTAAATAATCGGAAAACTACAAAAATGTTTTCTTTATTTGCAATTCTGTATCAGAACCGATTTTGTATTCAAAACAGATTTCCAGAAGGCTGCGAAAGTGATATACACTTGCTATGCCCCTAGAGATTTCTAAAAATATGCCTGCTCCTGTATAATTTAAGGCCTAGAAATGTATAAACAAAGTATATTTCGGTTTTTTATCACCGACTGCTGATAGACGAAGAACAATATTTGCCGAAGACGCCTGCTGGCGACAGACTGACTCTCAGTTGGCTAGGCACTTGGCACCTCGACGCTGGCCAAGATTAGGGTGATGTCATCGGGCTTCCCGCCGCCAGAATAGGGAACATTGTGCTCCCTCGCTTTGATGGCAAAAGGAGATTGAAAACTGGCATTCAGGGACAATTCCCGGGCCTTGTTCACCACTTGACTGGCGCCCGCCTGGAGATCCTGTTCCCCTCGCTCCTTTAGGCCGTTTAGAATCGTGAGCAGCATGCTCTCGGGCATGTTGTCGAACAGTCCATCCGTGGCCAGGAGCACCAGGTCACCGGGCTGCAGGGAGTATCTCGAAGAGACGGCCATTTCGGGCTTATCAGAATAAACGTAGTCCCGCTGATCCTTTGGCGCCACAGTCAGCTGATAGGGGGTATTGAAATCGTGTGTTTGTTCCTGCGAGCGGTGCAACACACGACCATTTCGCACCACCATGAAGCCACTGTCGCCCAGATTGGCGGTGTACAGGGTGCAATCCCTGCGGTGCATGGTGGCCAGGCAGGCTGTACTACTCCCCAACACCGGATGCACCCTGCCACTTAACTCCTGATAGCCGGCAATGAGCAAATCCCGGGGATTGCGTCCATCGAAGCCCGAAAGTTGAGTCTGGCTAGAACAGCAGGACATCAGCTCCTTGGCAAAGCAACCCGCGTCCACGCCCATATCCCGCCAGCCGCCCACGCCATCGGCCACGCCCAGCACCTCGGCCAGGGGCGTGGAGCTGACGAACCAGCTGTCCTCGCCGAAACGCTGATTGGAGCGCTCACCGGGAAAACGCGGCTTCTTCGATCTGCCCTGCACCCCGCGTGGTCTTCCCGGACTGAAACGAGCGGATGGAGTAGTCCGGGTGGTCGGAGAAGTTGGTGAAATGCTGGAAAGAGTGCCGAGAAATCTGCAGGGGACTCTTCCATTGCCGGACGAAGCGATTCACCAGGCGAGGCCAACTCCTCAGCCTGGAACGCATAGAGGTCATCATCTTTTCTTACTCTTAAGCACTGGAATTTTAAAGAAAAACTACCTGAGAGTTGTCAGTTTACTTATGTAAGTTACAAGAATATAGCAACAATAGATAAAAAGCCTCCCAATAGCAACTAGAAAATGGAGCAAAGAATGATTAAACTGAAGTAATAGTTTCATAAAAATAAATTAAAAATAATAAAAGTTAAAAAAATATATAATTATTATTATTAAATTATTGCAAAATTCTAAAACATGCAGCAATAAAGAAGTTTTGTTGAGACAACAGTCTTCAAAAAAAATTATTGTTGGAAATATTCGGATCCGTTTTTTTTTAAGAAACTAATTTATTATATATTTCCGATCTAATGGCTATCAACAAGAATGGTGCAAAAATACCAATTGAAGCCCAACCCTTTAAACTGTCAACTGTCTTCGTAATTGGAGTAAATTAGCTCTTCAAAAGTTATAAAAACTTAATCACGACGCAATTGAAATCTTGGGTTTCTGTTTACACCATAAACATTGGTTAATCGTAAGGCCCGATACAGAACTCATATACGGGCCTGGGTTCCAGGTATTTGTCATAGGTAGACTTGATTTCTTTGTTGGCCATTGTTCAATCTTATCTTGATGGGGCCTACGACACACTGGACTCGAACCCAGACCCCCATCATCACCGGAAGTTTTGATCACCCTGCGGAACTGCAAATGTTATCGCCACAACCTTATGGCCAGGGTGTTTCTTATCGGCGAAAAGGAAAACAATACGCGGAGATAACTTTATTTTAAACCACTGATGTAAACGCCTATAGATACGGGGGCTTATCAAATGCCCGTCGTATTCGGCAGAATCGCTCATTATTCATTATTTGCAATATTAGTTCTTATGGCTGCCAAATTATCAGGAAGTCTTAGGTCATTTGTGCAAGAGTGCAGGGTCGCACGATGAGCTCAATAGAGAGTCTGGTTGCTAAAAAAACGAGAATTACGGACCATTTCCCACTGCCGGCTATCTGGAATCGGAAGTGGAAACGCCAGTTCGCGACATCGGCTTATCATTTGTGTTCATACGTCAAACGTGAGTTTTAAAAATTTCTCTGACGATTTCCTGCAAAGCGTACGGATTTGGGTGCTATTTTTAGGAGTTTCTGGCTTATGATACTCGCAGCTATCCGGGCTCTAAAACAATAGGGTTTCTCCAGCATCCGCTTCAAATACATATTATCCTATATTATTATTTTGTGTATACAATATCTCTTGAACATACTGGCTTTGATTTATTTTTTTATGATACTTTATAATTTGAAGTATTTTAAGGATTCTGAATTCGTAGAAACGGAATAATAAGCCAGGTCAAAAATTACAAACTATTAGCAATAGCCAAAATTAAAAAAAACATTCCAACCACAGGGTTGAATAATCAGAATATTTTGTTTGTTACATTTCTGAATCATTTTGTTTTTAGTGTATTATCAAGAGATGGAATTTAAAACCACAGTTTAACTTTCTTAAATAACTTAGTATAATATGAGTAATTTATTTTAAGTTCTTCTGAATCATTAAGATTAGGCACTTTTATCAGCCAGCCAGAATTTAAGTTTGTAAAGACATATCCTTGTAAAAACCCAGATTCTGAATCACAATTATTAGGTTTAATGTATTATCAAGACGGAATTGAGTTTGCGTATGTTCCTATCCATTTGGATCAGGCAGTGAGACAATTCTTAGCTCTTAGTTAGTCAATTCGATGTCAAATCCTAATTGACTGTGAATTTTGTTCTCCTCATTGCAGGTAAGTAGAGCAGAGCCACAAAGGGCCGCAAATGTCCAGTGTCACATGACCCACTTTTGGCTGCACTTTCCGCAACGCCTCTTTTTTTTTTTTACAAAGGGGGTTTCTCATGTAAGTGGCGACGCAAGGTCAACGTGGCCTTTTTTTTAGTGCTATCCGCATATAATTACATGGCCCCCGAGCCAGGGCCCCCATCAATATTTATTGAAAGCTGGCATATCAATAGATAAATGGCTAGAAATAACACCTGCAGCCGGCGACCGGAGAACGGAGACCGGAGCCACCTGAGCCTCCGGCGGCGACATCGGATGGCCACGGCGACCCATTTCGAAAAGCTATTCCCCGATAAGAGGTAAAGCCACAAAGGGGCTCCATTCATTCGGCGGTGGACCTGCAGTTGGGTGGGGTTTACCGGGGTCTTTAAATTTAGTTGCTTATGTCATAACTAAATTGTCTGGCCGGGGCGATAAGATAAACGGCAATCGGGCCCAAGAATCGGGTAAACAAAAAGCGTAGTCAAAGAAAAACTGGGCACGTGAGAGCCCCGCCGAAAAAGTCAAGAAATATCCGAAAAGCTACAGCGCAGCGGGTTTAACCCGAGATATATATACATGTATGAATTTTTTTGAGCGCCTGCCCGGCCGTGCTGTTTTATATATATATATATTTTTTTTATTAAATTGCTCAGGAAATGCCAGAGCACAAAGCTTTCAACTCACTCATTCGGGCGAACTCTCTCTGAATTGTTCACTCTGTGAGTGCGATAAAAACGCTCATTCGCCTCGGCCCGTATAAAAAGCGAACCGTCGACGATGACGCATTTAGTCTAAACAAGTTGGCCGAGCAAAACGCTGCGGCAAGCGAGTGAATTTCATTCAGCATTAAATCAAAAATCGTGAAAATTACGTGAAAAACCGAAAAATAAAACAAAAAACCAATAAGTGTGTGCGAAAATTGCGACTCTCTCAGCATGTGCGGTGCTTGAAAAATTAAACAAAAACAGAACGAGAATTTTAGGAAATATTGAAAACAGACAACACAAATAATTCGCACGATCGCGCGCCATTCGGTTTACACAGATACAGATACATTTTGCGAGATACAATTTGCCAGTGTTTCGGTGTGCGAAATACAAAAGGCGAAATTCGCCAGAAATCGCTTGAGTCATAATAGACTTTGTGCGACCATAAAATACATTTGATACAACCTTCTATTTAAAAACAAATCAAAACGGAAGACCTACTGATATCTGACAAGATGACGCTGGACAATTACAGCATCTTCAATGATGAGTATCTGTTCAACATGCCGCTATCACCGCTGCCAAAAGTGGTAAGACTTTTTCCACCGCCATTTAGTATTAGCAGAATCCCCGCCCTCATTTGGCACAGTTAAGTGCCAGTGTTATCAGTGTTTGCCATGAATTTCCAGAATTCCAATGTATAAAATATTGTCATAAACTTCTTGTGCAGTCTTTGTAGATATGTACATATATGGGCACAATTGGACGAGCGCTTATCGTTGCCAATTGAGTTCTTGGAATTTGGAGATCCCCTTTTTTTCACATTCCTATTCAATGCCCCATCTCCACACATACGTATAGATGGAAATTTGTTTGCTCTGCGATAAGGGGTGCCAGCCTAGTCCTATTCCTCCGATTGTCCAATTTATGTTCACGCTCGTTAACCAAAAATGAATTGTTTTTTTATTCGCGATAAGGGAATTATTGTTGGCTGTGGCAAGTGTTTTGGGGCTCGTGTGGGCACATCGATCATTGGTTTCGTAATAATTGAAAAGTATTATTTTGCGTTCTCTATTTTTAAGTGCTACGTGACTGATTATGAAATAAAAACAATGCTGAATTGCATTATAAAGAAAATTTCATTTTTACAGTCGAATTTGGTGTCTGTAAATAATTCAAATTATTCTGCACAGAAATAGCTCAATGTATACAAATACATATTTTAATATCAAAAACAATTTATTTACTTAAAATGGTATTATTAGTTGTAATACCTTTTCTAAATACAAATATAATTAAATAAATATTTATTTTGAAAATATTTATTTATTTTGAAAATATTTATTTAAATGTTTTTTTTTGCCTGTTTAGGTTTATAACTTGTATTTAATTTTAGCATTTAAAAAAAATACAATTACAAAACCATTATTCTTTATGACTTCGCCATTAATATATAATATTTGCGTGTAAAACTTAATTAAATCAAGTACACCCTGCCGCAACTCTTAAAAAGTTATTGCCAAAAATCACCCTCAATTTGGAATCACGTTGCGATTTCATGCCACCATTTACAGTTACTATTTTCCGGCTTAAAGTCGGAGTTTCTTGCAGTTTCTGTTTGCTTTTTTTTTACCCATTTTGGCCATTGCATTTCACAGTCCAGTGATCCGGTCTGGGTTTTCGACTGCGTCTGGGTCTGGTAATGGTAATCGTAATGTTTTTGGGTCTGTTTCTTCATGGAACCGGCGCCATTCGCTGATATCGCACACGTGCGATTTTCGTGACAATTTATCAAGTTTTGTGCACTGCGTTCTTGATTTCCATACATGTATGAACATTATTTTTCACTTTCCGCCCAAAGAGGGCTTAATTCGGGCGTTTTTTATTTTTTTAATGGTAGAAAGTGAACGAGGGTCCGATTGTGTGACCCTTTGACTTGTGAACCCCAAACACACTTGCGTGACACTTGATACTCGACATTATAGAGGGACAGATGTGTGTGCTTTTGTGTATATATTTATGTTACATATAGCCCGGCAATTGGGGCGGTTCAAAGTGACAGGCTGCAAGTCAAACACTTGCCACATGCGCGCGGCTTAAGGTCTGAAATGGTTCCATTAAATACTATATAACCAGCGCCCCCACATTATCCCAGCCAAAGTCCAACTTTCTTTTAATTAACTGAATAACTGAATATGGTCTTGGTCTGCTCTTGAAATAATGGTTTTGTGTTTTTTCGTGAGGGTGTTATAACGTGGACTTTCGCAATGGTTTTTGGCTTTTATATGTGGGCGTATTCGATTGGTTTGAATTTGACATGAAAGAAATCACTTGAAGCGTTTTTTTTTGGGGGGAATTCGAGGACAGACAATAACTTTCCTTTGTCTAGCGCTGCCTACACCCTCTAGAACTGGCCTAAAAAATAGCTCTTACTTACTTTTCGGGCTTACTATTCGCATATATAGATATGTGTCTGCTGATCATGCCATGTCCATGGAGCATGCAACAAGACTGCATTCAATTAAGATCAAATTTAATATTAAATATGTCTACGAACTGTGAGCGCACTTAATTGCATTTCCAGTCAATTTAATTGAGTTGCTTCTTAATGAATCGAATGCAATTTGGCATTACTTTATCGTCGATGAGCTGCCAAGAAAGTTCGGGGCAGATAATTTGACAGGCAAAGCAAGCGCTTGAGTTGCCCTGTAATTGAAGTCCTTTGCTAAGGGTTTTCCCTGTTCTCTAATTTTATTTTTTATTTCTTTATTTTCCCTTGCTGCCATTGGTAATTTCGTGTTGGCAAATGTCCTGGCTTTTGATGGCTGCGGTCACGTCCTTCTAGGAATTGGCCAAAACCCCCCGAATGAAAAGTGAAAACAACTTTTACTACTGTCTCCGCCTGGCAGGTCCTGTCTTTTCTCCGGCTCCCCTCCCCTCTGTCTAGGTTGCATTTTTGTCCTTTTTGTAGTTTTTGCTGTGTTGTCCTTTCTGGCGCCTGAAAGACGCGTCGTTTGTTTGCCATTTCCTCGAACTGCAAACTTTGCCATAAATTCGCTGGCCCGACCTCCCCCGTTTTCAGGGGTTTCTCTCTTTTTTGTTGTCGCGACAAAATGCATTTAAATAAATTATTCCCAGACCAGTGTCGCGTCATTTTATTAGCTGCACGTTTGCGTATATCGAATGCCCACTTTGCTTGGCCAAATCAGCTTAATTATGGCTTAATGACCGGAGTGCATTGAGAAATGTGCTATCGATTAAAATGGCACCCCTCTCGCGGGAAACCCAACCCAGGTAAATAAGATACAACAAAAAAGAAGAACAAGGTTCAATGTCCTGCTTAAATGGCAGAACATAAATATTTTCACTCTTTCATTACTTTTTCCTTTTTTTAATATCTCATGCAAATTTGTTTTTTCCCTTGTCCACGCCCTCGGAACAAAAGTCTGATTAATTTGACACTGAACTTAAAGCCCGAACGACACCAGGGAATCCTGAAAGCGGCTGAAAATTTATATGTCGTGCGTTTTGCACTTTTTGGCAAATTTTGAATTATGGCTGTTGCCAGACAGCGAAAAAATGTTTAACTTTAATTCAATTTTGTTTGTGTGGGCGTTCCGAAAATGGACAAACGTCAAGTGATTTTAATGACGGCGCTGCTTTGTGTGTATTCAACATATATACAAATACTTAATGTACTTTGCATAAATGTTGGTTATATAAGGGGGGCCTCTCTCTGTTTTTGTTTTGCGTGCCTAAAAAAGGCCGGCAACCGTGTGGATGCGGCTTTTGTCGACTTTCTGCCGGCCGTTGACTCTGGGCCACTCCAAAATTCTTTAGACGAGGGAAAAGCCGGCGGAAAGGGGCGGGGAAATTGGGCTTTATCAACCGCCAGCCGGCACTTAGCACAGTCAACACGCCGATCGGCCATTCCGCTCGGGCATTGCGGTCACGTTCTCCTTGCCAGCGAAAAAAACAGCATTAATAAAATAAAATAAAACAGCAGAAACATCGACGAAGTAGCACTTCGAAAATATGATTTTTGCTTCTCCTTTGCGTTAATTGTTTTATTCGCAGAATTTGCATTTATATGCAATTCAGACAAGAGACTTGCAAAAATTCGTATCTGGAATTATGCTTATCGTCAAGGGAAGTGCAGTAGCCAACTGAAATTACAATGTTGTAGGTGCACGGAAAATAAATATTATTTCAGGACTGACAAGGTTTTATATGAACAGAACGTAAAAAGCATCATATCTGTGTTTAGTAGTATTGTAACAGACAATATATTACATTAAATAAATAATATTTTGACTTTTAAAGGAATATATTTTAAGGCTTAAGATGTGAACTTAAAAAACTTACTAATGCCATTAAATCGGATATATACATACGTATGAGGCTCAAGATTGTTTTTATGAAAATGTTATTTTCTTAAATTTTTTATCGCATTAAGCTATAGTCATCAAAATTTTCAGAAATTAAATATAGATAAAACAGATTCTCGTTGTATTTATTACACATCTTGTTACGCATATTATTTATTTTTGTTTTTTATAAAAAAATAAATAAAACTAAGAGAAAGTCACAAGTTTTTCACTGTGCATAACCCCATAAAGCTGAAGACGCCGCACTTGAACTTGTCAACTTTTCAATTCTCGCTTTTATATTTTTTCGCTGTGACATTGCAGCAACTTTGAGCAAACAATGCTGGAGCTGCAGTTTGTTCAAGTCTTTGCCAATTGAAAAAATCAAAATTGTATTATTTTTTTCTGATAATTATGCGCATTTCTAACTAAACAAACGTCGACCTTCAGCATGCAATTTTTGTATTTAACAAGCTTGCCAACTAATTTATGCCGCCGCGGCAACAACAGCAACTAAAGCGTTTAAACAAAGGCGAAAAATTAGTTTGAATTCCGAGTTTTAAGTTGGCAACTGTTAGTTAACATTTGGCTGAGACAGAGGCCCATGCTAACTCGGGCTGTTAGCCTTTGTTTTCCTCGCTCCTAACAATTATTAGCCACTTTTGATATAAACAATACAAATTGTCGTCGCCTGTTTTCGTTTTGTTTTTGCCTTTGATGATGCCAAGTTTTTTTGTGCCGTTATTACGTCATTGTCAGGCTGAAATTGGCTTAAAAATAGCCCAACACGTCAGCTGAAACAGAAGGCAAAGTCTCGGGCCCGAGAATTTCTTTAGCACTCAACTTGTTGCACCTACACTTCCCTTCTCTTCAAAACTGTTTTTCGGCGAATACGATTCGAACTAATTAGAGCCAAGGTCGTAGTCAATATGCAAATCAAAACGCGAGCACGGATTTTAAGGAATTGATTAGGACAAGCGAAAAATAGTTTTCTAGGAATTTCCCTCTAAAGTTCATAACATTTTCCACGAAACAACTTAACAAATAAGTTATTTTTTGGGATAAAGCATAATTCCACAGCCTTATTTATCATAAAAATAAAGAATAAAATATATTTAAATGTTGATAGCACACCGCAGAGGCTTGTTGTTTTTTTTTTTATAAAAATGTTTTTAATCGTAACATTTTTGCTAAGTTTAGCTTTTTTAAACTCATAGATTAAACAATTCTAGGAATATCATTATATTTTTATAAGTTTAATCTGTGTTTCTAGGAATTTAATATGAATGTATTTTCATACAATATAGTTAAAATTTTTAAAGAACCACGTTCTATTCTATGTTTACATTTTCCGCAAGTGTATATCACTTTAGTTGCAGTCCCTCGTATTAGTCAGCAATTTGCTGTTTTTCGCTGACTACGTCACTGTTTTTTTCAATGCTGGCTGTTCGATGTTCGCTGCTGGCTTCATTTGGTTTATAATTGACCCCCAGATGTGAACTCGGACCCTCCTTCTCTGATAAGAGAGATCGCCAACCGACATTGCCATTGCCTCTGAGCTGGCTTCAATTTAGACAATTCAATTCACGGCTCTTGATTGCCAGTAGTTCGCATTCGTATTATTGTTATTTTTATTATCGCTTGTTTAGCATATAGGCGAACTTTAAATTGACTGATTCATCGGCTAAATATGGTTCATGTGCCAGGGGGAACAAGTTCAAAAAGCAAATTTGCCATGGAAAAGTGGGTTAAAACGAAAGTCCCCGAAAACAATGTGGCGAAGGTGTTCAAACACCAAAAACTCTGGCGGAGACTTGAAAGTACATACCGAAAAAATAAATATATAAAAAGCGCGTACAAAGAATAAAATCGATTGTTGGTTGTCAATAAGGGAACGGCCTTTGGGATTGGGAAACGCGGCTGCGATAAGATCGTCAAATAAATAAGCATACAATCAGCAACTCCCTGCACAGAAAGAAAATACATATATTATTATTATTGTTATTATTACATTCTGTTTGACTGCAATGTAAAATGTACCATATTAAACATTAAATAAATGTTTTTATCTAAAGGGCCTTGGGGTAAATATTTCATTTTTAATAGGTTAATTTATTTAATGTATTTAATTGATAATTATAAAAACAAGGATCTTAGTTTCCGGGTAATATTTTCTTTTTTTTAGTTCTTGTATTATATTCTTCTTTATTTATACAATCAAAATCAGACCCATTTCTTTCTGTGCACCCAATATATGTAATGTTTTTAGCCCACAACAAAAGCTGGCAATTAGCGTATTGGCCAACTTGCTGGCGACGGAAATAAACACTCGGCGAGACAGGGGGTCTGAAAAGTTAGTTATTGTTAATGTCCCACACGCACACACCTGTTCGGTGGACATCTGTCAGATGGGGCTGGGTGTGCTCTATAAATATTTTCACATATTCGGAACCATAACTTCTGCCAAATGATTTCGCCGAAACATTGAGCTGTTGTGGCCTTTAATTTATGGGCGAATGAAAGGCATTTCGATGGAAAGAGCTGCTGTAAAATCGGCAAATCGGAACTAACCCACACGCGAGCAGATGCATATGCATATATGCCATACTATACTATATGTATTTTGCTATAAAAGTATGGCGAGCGTGGTCGTCGTGTGGGCAGCCGCTCAATTAAGAGCAGGCAGCGTTTAAAATTATTTGATTTTCCCAGTGGTTGTCTTCTAATTTGAGCAAACAGCTCGCGGCACTAGGCACACACCCAAAAGACAGCTCTCCGGGTTCTCTAGATATAACTACATATATCCCCAGCGATCTCTCGATCTTGATCGCTGCCAATTTCGCTCGCCGGATTCGGATTCAGTCGCAAACGAACAACGAACCATCGAAGTTTAGAAAATATCTAACAATTAAAAGCGATCGCGCGCGCGCTTTTTCTCGAACCTCGAATCTCGAACAACGAAACGAAAATAAATTTGGAAAATTGCAATTGTCGTTTTGTTTTTAGCGCGCGTGCATTGCCAAAACGAATCAGAAACAGAAACTGAAACTGAAACAACAACGAATCGAGCCAGGAGAAATATATAGACGCGGGAAAGGAACAACGCAAAAACGACGCACATTTCTCAGTTGCATGCCGCGTGGATCGAAATATATATATATACATATATAATTTATATATTGCTAAACTTAGAAATAAAAGCGAAAAAGGGAGGAATAACTTTGAGAGGCGTTGCCCGTGGCCAAGGAAAATGAGAAATACGCATGAATATTAATGCAGCATTAATTGAACTAGCTCAAGGCTCAAGCGCCCTCACTCTCCCTCTCTATCTCTCTCTTTTTGCCACAAATCTGTATAATTATATAATCCAATTTGTGTTATTTATCGCGGCCCTCAGACCAGAGCAGTGAACTGAGCTGAACTGGACACGTGTCATTAGATTTTAAGCCTCGCACACTTACGATATATTGCGTTGATTATGAGCGCTTTCGCCGATCGGAATATACATTTCAATCCTTTGCGAAATCAGCAAACGCTTATCGTCAAGCGGCTGAGACCGCCGGAGAGCAAAAACTTCAAGAACTGAGCAATCGAACAACGAATATATACGAACTCTGCTCGCAGCTAAGAAAAAACGAACCTTATTTAAAAAAGCCAAGGCAGAAATACAACGAAATATATAAGCAATAAAACAAAGCCAAAAACGAACGAATTCTTAAGCAACTATAACAACACTGCGACAACAACAGCATCCAAAACAAAAAACCGGAAACATAAAGACAAGAAAGGATCATCACATTGTTAAAGAACTTTTGCAGAGAAAAGTGTCTTTTTTGTACATATATATGCTAGAACATAGATTTGTTTTTGTTGATTTTGAATATAACTCATACATATATATCATTGTTGTCCCAATTTGTTGTGTTAGCTTAGCTAGGCGCAACATATAACGAATACTAGTCAGCCGCCCAACTGTGCGTATACGCAACGCCACTGCGTATACTTAATATTTAAGAGTAGATAAGTAAGGATTAGGCTAAAAACCAACGAACAAATGATGAAAAATCTAAACGGTAGGGCGCACAATGCGTGCTACCATCCCTACTACCATCAATCGTTGCACTTTGCACAGCAGCAACATAATCATCAGCAGCAGCAACAGCAACATCACCAGATGCAGCAGCAACATCAGCAGCTGCAGCTGCAGCAGCAGCATCAGCACCCGCAGCAGCAATTGTTACGTCATCAGCAACGGCAACTGCCCACGCAGCCTGCCTACCAGCAACAGCAACACCAGCAGCAGCAACAACAACAACAGCAACATCAGGAGCAACTGAGGCAATCGTTTGCCCACAATGCTTTTCCACTACGCAGCAGCAACAGCAACAATTATGGCCATGTTGCTGGTAGCGCCTACGCCGCCAACAGCAACAATGCGGCTGCCATGGCCGCCGTGTGCCAAATGCAGAATTTTTTTAGTCAACAACAGCAACAGGAGTACAACAATTGCTTGCCTATTAATTATTATCAACAACAGCAGCAACAACAACAACCACAACCGCAACAACAACAGCCAATGACAGCTACGACGACAGCAGCAACTTGCAATGCCTCAGCAGCAACAGCAACTACAACAACAACCTCTACGAACACCGACAACAACAGCGATAATTTTGCAATGGACGCCAGTGAAATCGCTACTTTTCTCGCCAACGAGCTTTTCCTACAGCAGGTACTAAATATCGTTGATTAAATCCCTATCGAAATTCGGAAAATTGGGCGCGAAACAATTGGCAAGCGGTGTGCGTACTTATTCATCGCTGAAAATAGAACAAATGCGGAACAACAAAGGGGTGGGCAATATAAACAATGTGATGGATTGGGTCCTCTCTTTGTTTCTCTTTTTTCTTTTTGCCAAAAAAACACGTTCCCTAATTCCTAGAAATGTACGAATAAGCAAAAGGTCTTACAGTCTTAACAATTGTTTTTGATGTTAAAGCAAAAGTAACGTCAATGGATTTTATTTTAGAACCAAACTTTAAGTGACTGTTCTTTAAGAACTTTGGAATACTGCATTTAAGCCAAACGAAATAATTTGTCAAAATGGTATTTATGGTTTTAGAGACTATTTACATTTTGTAATCTAAAAAAGGATCTCAATACATTTTAGAGTTTTGAGATAGGTTTTAAGAACAATCAATTTTAACATTACCAATAAAATATATATAATAAATAAGCATTTAATTAATAAACCTTTTTCTTTGTTTATTGCAGCTCGGCAACTTTGAGACCGGTCAGAGTGTTTTAACGCTGACTACACCCACGCTGACGCCGACCACCACGCGCAGCATCGAGGACACCTTTTTCCAAATAATGTCGGATACACAAAGTGATCGTGGAGCTGGTTGCGCGGGATTTGCAGTGCCACTGGTGCTACCAAATGCTACGGGAGCCACTGAATCCAATGGCAATGGAATTTCCACGATTCCCACCCAGCAGCCATACGATGTGAGCCTGGTGCCAGGAAGCGAGTCCGAGGAGTCCAACGATACGCAGATGAACGAGGAGCAGGACACAACCGATACTTGTAAGTGAAACTGGTACAGAGGAGCTTCTGTGATGTGCTAACTAAATCCCTTTCTCAATCTGCAGCAAGTGCCCATACGGACAGCACCTCGTACCAGAATGGCCACATAATGGGCAGCAGTGTGAATGGCGGCGGTGCCAACAACTTCAGCAATGTCCTGGCTGCCGTCACCTCTGGCCGCGGATCCTCCTCGGCGGGTAACAACGCGAATACCTCAAACAGTGCCACGCCGGCGCGCCGTGGAGGCGGTCGGCGACCCAACCGATCGGCCAACATGACCCCGGAGGAGGAGCAGAAGCGGGCGGTGCGCCGGGAGCGAAACAAACAGGCGGCGGCCCGTTGCCGCAAGAGGCGCGTGGACCAGACCAACGAGCTCACCGAGGAGGTGGAGCAGCTGGAGAAGAGGGGCGACAACATGCGCAAGGAAATCGAAGCGCTGACGAACAGCAAGAACCAGCTGGAGTACCTGCTGGCGACCCATCGCCCCACCTGCAACAAGGTGCGCACCGACTTGCTGAGCGTGGCCACCTGCAACGGGCTAATTGCCCCGGCCGGACTCTTGAGCGCCGGCAGCTGTGGCAGCGGATCGAGCAGCCATCACAATCACAACAGCAACGACAGCAGCAATGGCACGATCACCGGATTGGACGCCACGCTGAACTCCACCGGCAGGAGCAACTCGCCGCTCGATCTCAAGCCGGCGACCAATATAGAGAACATGCTGCTGAACATCAAGGATGAGCCGCTGGACGGTGGCTTGGACTCGGGCTCCAGTCTGGACCAGGATGGTCCGCCGCCCAACAAGCGCTTCACCTTGCCACCCATGTCCACGATGCCGCAAATCCACATGTCCACGCTGATGACGCCCACCGGCGCCTCGTCGGGATCTCTGCAGACGCCCATCACGAGCACGGCGCCCGGAATATTCGGCAACGTCTTTTCCGTGACCACCAACGGCGGCAGCATGAACAACAGTCCCACGCTGAATGCGCTGAACAAAATGCCCAAGGAGCGGCCTAACACGCTGGCTTTCCAGCGACCCATGCACCTGTCCATGGCCAACAAGTCGTCCGGCGCGGGCGGAGCTCCCACGCAGATCCAGGGAGTGCCCATCCAGACGCCTTCCACGGGCACCTTCAACTTTGACTCCCTGATGGACGGCGGCACCGGGCTGACCCCCGTTTCGGGTCCCCTGGTGCCCAACAGCTCCGCCATGAACAAGCATCCGCTGGAGCTGGCCACGCCCTCCGCCGAGCCGTCCAAGCTGGTCAGCTTATAACCGGACAGGAGCCGGGTCAGGGCCGGAGGATAGGGGGTCCACGTCCACCAGTTCGGGGATCGAGTCAGGATTAAGTTAAGTTTGATATAATTGAAACGTAGCGATTATATTTACACTTGCTAAAAGATAAAAGGAAACCAACAAAACATTTTGCTAGTTGTAGAGATGTTTTCATTTTTTGTAATCGTAAAGCGTTTGACGAATATTTTGTTTCGTTAACTCTAATGTTTTTTGTATTATTATCTTTATTATGGTTAATTTATGATTTTTGCTATGTCTTTTACATACGCCAAGCTACATATGTTATGTACTTGTATTTTGTGCAATTTTCAAACCTTTTCATTGCGTGTTATATATTTTCAAAAAATATAAAAATGCGAAGATCGACGATGCATGCATTAATGCCTGGAAAATGATAAGGATTATAGGGAGTGTAGATTTGAAGGATGCGTTGTGATATTTATTATAAAACGAATACAAAAGATACCAGATAAAACAAAAGTAGAAAGCAAAACAGGAGCAGTAAACAAAAGCGTGTAATGAAAGGAACTAAGCCGGTTTTAAAATTGTACATTTAAACGAATCGCGTAAATATAATATATATATATATTCAGCATACAAACTAAATACAATGCCTTGAGAGAGAATTAAGAAATGCAAACACTTTATATATATGAGTATATGTATGTTTAAACCTAAACAATAATCGCGTTAAAGCAAGTTTTATATTGAGCAAAAGCAAATGTGAAATGAGATAAATATACTTATTGTACTCTGTAAGCTGCAGTAGAAAACCCAAATATATTTTTACTAAACGCAACAAATGCGCTATTTTCAAATACCATTTATAAGAAATGACAAAAGCAAAGCAATTATTTAATATGTAATTATGTATTATGTATACCCAAATACGATTTAACAAAATCTGATCAGGTAAAAAACCTCTCGCCAGTTTCCACATTAAATTCTCTGAATATTCAAAATTATCAATTTATCCAAAACCAAACCGATCGATAGTAAATTTAATGCACTTATAAGGGCAGAAAAACACCAAAATTGACAAAAATGAAATAAAATAAAATAAAATAAAAATACCGAAAAACCTAAAAACAAAATGATGAATTATTTTTTGTGTTATCTAACAACAAAAGGAGCACAATTCTCATGACTTGCAAATGGTCTGGCTTATCGTCAGGTAAACTGGTCAGGTAAATTAAGGTGGACCAACAGCGGCTGTAGCTTAAAATTATACATATTTTCCCAGGGTTTCCAAAGAAGATTTAGATATTTGTCAATTTAGTTATTTCAACTGAAATTTAAGATATCACTATTATCTTTAAGAATATTTTCTGTTTGTATTTTTCAAAGACCTTTACTATCATTATTATCGGGTAACATAGTTTCCAAACTCTTGGTGATGTTAGGGACCAGCCTAAAGGGCAGGTAAACGCGGCAGTGTTCTTCCATTCGTACACCGATAATGGTTACATATGTACACAAAATGCATATATTCATTTTCGGGTTTGCCTTGTTTTGCATTTTTTCGGATCTGTTATTTTCGCTGCAGCCACAAATCGGATCATTGTTTCAGTTACTCGAGAACGAGCAATATGAGCGGAAGTCAATTTCTTCACGCCCTGGGACGAACGCTGGGATTGGGTAGGAAGCAGCTGAAGGTCGATAGCCGACATGTGGTGATCATCACGGGATGCGATTCGGGATTGGGGTAAGGTTACTGAACCTGGAATGAGTTAAAGCTACTGACTAGCTGTTTTCTGCTTTTAAATAGCCACTCCATGGCCGTATACTGCCATGATTCGCTTCACATGACAGTGGTTTCCTGCTGCCACAATCTCAAATCCGATGGAGCCAAACTACTGCAAGCTTTAAACTCATCCGAGGATGGGCTGAGTAGGATGCACACTCTGGAACTTGACCTTTTGGAGCCCGATTCGATACGCCATGTTCACTGCCAACTCAGGGATATACTCACCAAAGATCAAAGATATCGGTTAACAGCCCTGATAAACAATGCGGGAGTTATGTGTTTTGGGGAATTCGAATGGCAGTTACCTGAGCAAATAGAAACGCAGATCAACTGCAACCTACTCGGCACAATGAGGTTAACGCGTGAATTGCTTCCTCTGCTCCGCCAGCAGCAGGGCAGGATCATCAACGTGACCAGTCACTGTGGACTGCAGGCTCTTCCTGCCCTGGGTCCTTACGCCGCCTCCAAGGCCGCCTTGCGCTTTTGGACAGATGCCCTACGAGTGGAACTCCAGCAATACGGCATGGAGGTGGTCAACTTTATACCAGGTTCCTTCGTTTTGGACAGCAACATTGCAGCCAGGCAGCAGCAACACGCTGAGAAGATGCGAAAGGCCTTCAACCAAGAGCAACATGCTCTATACGACACCTACTTTGAGGCCTTTAATGGTTACCTAAAAGTCCTAAGCGGCTTCAAGCCACCCAATCGCCTAAAGAACGATTCGCTGCTGGCCAAATTCAACGATGCCTTGACCAGCTCACAACCTTTAGCATTGTACATCGAGGAGCCCCGACGATATCGCTTCTACCGTTGGCTCTTTTCGATTTGTCCCACTCCACTGGTGGATTGGCTAACCCTGCGCTTCTGCGCCATGCCCACCTACGAGTCCACAAACAGACAGAAAAAGATTTAGGTTAATTCGTAGTCTATACATATTAAATTTACAATTGTAGCACATTGGAATACTTGGCTAAGGGCTGTGGCAAATAAATCGAGCTGAATCCAGGGAATGGAAAACGGCAAAGACGATCACAGAACATAACTGGGTGGTGGTGTCTAGTAGCCAGTGCTGCGGCACCGCTCGAATACCGCATCGTTGAGCAATTGAAACCACTCGCTAGCATAGGTGGAGTCCTCTGCCGTCCGGAACAGCTGAAGCTTTTCCTGTGCCGGCAGCGAGGAGCAGAGATAGTAACTGATGGCGGTTCCCGTCAGCTCGGCATGGTAGTTCTTCAACGCCCACTCCAGCAATCGCAGGCAGTTGTGAGAGTCCAAGAACTGGATGAGTCTTTGCTGCAGTACGGCCTCCATCTCGGGTATAATGTACACCCGCGACATCTCGTAGGCCTGCAACAGGGCAGGGTAATCCGATTCCGTTAGGTGCCGCTCCTGGCACACAATTAAATGCAGAAAATAGCGCAATCCACTGGCCGTATAATCCTGCAGCTGAATCTCGCCATGGTGACCTTCTCGAAAATCACTATTAAGCATTTTGTTGAATACCTCGCTGGTCTCGCAGAGCAGCTCCTTATTAAAGCCAATGGTCAGGGTGGAATCTTCCCCGCCACTAACCAGAAATTTCATGTCACAGTTTTCGTGTAGTGGAGCAGATTGACATGGCTTCTGAGTACAAATATCAGCCGTACTTTCCGCTGGCTCTGCTTCTGGTAAAACAATACCCAGTGTATATCGGGCCATTGATGTCACCGCATCCACCGCCTCATCCGCATAGTAATCATCGCTTTTCTTTCGCAGCATTAGATCAAAAAGCATGTTAAGTGCGTTGCCATCATACAGGAATTGATAGAGTAATCGATGGCTCTTGACGATGTAGGCCACCGAAATGGCTGCTCTGTGCTGGGCGTTCACATCATCGCAGCGCAGGAGTCGCACTAGCTCCTCCTTGCCATAATTTGATTCTCCGACATTGGTAAGCGTTTCCAAAAAGGCGAATCCATCTTTGCGCATCTAAAAAAATAATGAGTGTTAAAAAAGAATTGGGCTATAGGTAAAACTTAAAGAATAGTTTGAAACCCACCTCTTCCACCTTGGTGAGTTGATAAAGCTGATGGACTACTCCATGCTTGATGATCTGGGCAAAGAACTGGCTTTCCCTGAAATAATGAATTAATCAATTAAGATATATCAAATTTGCAGTTTCCAGTTTAAACTCACAGTAGAATATTGGTCAGGGCATTGGAGAAATTATTATTGGCCCCAAATAAGTTTATAGCTCTTATCAGAGTATCCAGTGTCTCGGGCTTTCCCAGCTCCACTCGTTTGTTAACCATCAGCGTAATGCGATAAATTAGATTCTCTATAATGTCGATGGTGTCGCCTGCTTGATTTCGGAACTGGGCTAGTTTGGGTGGTACATCCGAGCTGAGTTCCTCGAGATCCTCTTTGTCAGAGAGCGGGTCATCTATGGGCTCGCTACCTTCATCGATTAGCTTCAATATATCCAAAACACTCGATGCCTGAGCTCGATTGGCGGCTATGCGGCGTTCCCTCGTATCCCCGTTGGTGTCGTCTTCATCATCGTCATCATCACTACACGCCGGTGAATAGTTGTCGTCGTCATCATTTGTCAGCAGATCTTTACACACCGGAGACATGCTCCGAGAACTGCAGGGACTGGTGGTGCGATAAGACCTGGGCGAACTGCTCGGCGAGTCAAAGTCCGAGTTCTCGTGAGTCTTTGAGAACTTAAAAGAAAAATAATGAAATCAATAGTGGTTTAGTTATATATTTCTCCATTATATACCTTGCTTAGCGTCTCTGGGGTTGTGGGATCCGTCAGTTTTCTTTTCTTGCCACCTTGTAATCTTTCTTCTCGACGACGTTTGTGATGCTCATCATCGCTGGTCAGGTAATCATTTAATTCCCTCACCAGCATGGGCACCAAGCCCTCATATAGCAACAGTTCCATGCTTAAGTTGTCATATTGGAAATTGTTGAGAATGTGAAAAAGCTGTTGAGTAAAAAAATGCAATTAATTTTTAGATTGAATTTTAATAAATACTAGACTTACCGATGATCGCTCGCTCTGTGAGTTGGAGTCCCTAATCATGGCTACCAATTTACGCAGAGCTCCACATCTTCGGATCTTCGAGCGACTGCAGGCATCCGTCGATAGGGTCAGTATTATATTAATGCAATGCCGGCTTTCGCTTTCGTTAAGAGGTTTCGCCATGTTGACCGCCATGAGCATCTCGCAGGCAGCCACAATGGCATCCGCCGTGCTCAGCATGTAGAAAGCGCAGGGATCCTTGCAGAAGTTCGAAAGGATTTTCAAAGCTGAAGCCCGTTGATCGCCGTCCTCCTTCACGAAGCACACAATCGAGGCCAACGAGGTATTCCGGGAAATAGACTAAAAGAAAAGGGAATATTTAGAATAGTGATTACAAAATCTCTTAAAATTTGTTATGATTAAACAGTCTCTCACCTCCCAAGCTTTCATGCCAATCTGCTGAGCTGAGATCAGCACCAGGCACTTTAAAATCTCAAGAGCCAGCTCCACAGCCGTCTCGTTTTCCGTTGGCAGAGCATAGTCACAGTTCCGCGTGGAGTTTTTTAGCATCTGGTAGTCGAAGATGTCACTCCGCACTCCCTCTAAATTTCGTGCCACCTCCTCGAAGTACTTCTCGCGGTGCTGGTTCCGCTTTAGTCCAATAAGGGTAGATACCTCAATATCCGGAACGGGTTCCTTAGGAGCCTCATTGTTCTTCATCACGGCCAGGAAAATGCGCATCAGCTGCAGGAATCCATTGGACACCAGGAAGTGCTTAAGAAACTGGCTGCTGGACAGGAGGAAACGGCAGACGCGGAAGGCCATGATCCGGGTCTGCACCGCGCTGGTGGACTCGATTATGTGGCAGATGGCCGGGGCAATGGCCGCGTAGTGAACGTTGAGATACTGAGATGCCTTCTTGCTTTTGGCCAGATTTCCCAGCATTCGGCAGGCGCGGCATTGAATCACAGGATTGGGTATGGTCTTCAGAATGGTCACCAGCGGGGGAATCACTTTGCATTCAACGGCCTGTAAAGGGGAATTTTTTAAGCTATTAGAAGGATATCCAAAAATCAATGGACTATTTTAAAAGGACTTGCTATTAGTTTTATAAAGTTTTTATAAAAATTCATTTTTAAATGAATATAATAAATCCCACTTTGAAAATATTATTTTTTAGGACATTTAAATTTATATATTAAAATATCGGATATAGTTTTTTTTATTTTTTTTTACTGAAAGTAAATATTTAAAATAATTGTTTTTTTTTTAATTTTCTTACCTCAATGCAGGCCTGTTCATCGGTGCAGCAGTTTCCCAGTATGCTTAAGACCACTTCCATTATCTTTTCATTCAGCTTTGTGATCAATCGAACCTGGAAGACGCAAATTATTATCATTTAAAAATCGATTTGAATCACGATCCTATGTTGTGCAAGGCAGTAGCTGCCAAACTTCAACGATTGCTGTGGCTTCCAAACCCACCATGATGTGAACGCCCCCAGCAGTGCGAAATAAAACAATGCCATTCTTGTCCTTCACCAGATCGGTGCGCAGCTTAACCAGGCATTTGTAAATGACCGTGCGATCCGTGGAGGTCTTGAGCACATCCAGCATGCTCTCCACATGCTCTGGTGTCCAGAACATTGGCAATTTTCTTAATTTTTAAACAAAATGGATCAATTCAACAACTTTAACTATGCGTTTCAAACCTTTCTGATAGTGTGGCCGCACAGTTTGGAGTATTTTTAAGTATTTTTTGGTATATTGCAGGATTCTTTGAAAAATTTGGTACGGTCTCACGCGACTACAAACAAAGGACGAAAAACTTGTTTTTATTTTCCTGAAATTAAGGGTGATTTTACACAGATAAAATTTAACATAAATGTTTCCTTCAATCTGAGCAAAATCTTTGCCAAATTAATTTAATTAAAATTCGAATTCAAGCTGCGCGCGCAAAATTTTCATATTTCAATTATTTACTGTTATACATTGAAACAAAAAGTAATGAGATACAAGACTGATTATTCATAGTTCAGAGAAAACTTATTTAATGAATTTGCAAGTTTTGAAACAACAATTTTTTATTTTAAAAAATAAAAGGTTAGTTAATTATTCAAATCATAATTTATGTAATTAAATGGTTTTGCTTAAATTTCCGTTGTGACACGAAATGGTAGTTTCACCTCTAATTCAGGTGCAATGTCGGATATTTCAACTGCACATCAACGGTCATACTAATTTGAGGAATAAAGCAAAGCAACTAAATAATTAGTTAATCACTAGTTGTCTTTGTTGTACGTAAACACGGACTTTTCCCAGAACTTAGCATTTTTGCTGCAGTCGTGCAGTTGAGTTTTTCACGAATTTTAAAAAACCAGTTGCGAAGTGTTTTGTGACTCATCAGTTTTCGCAGGCTCAAGGAGGGAATTTCGTCATGGACGCTAGCAACAATGGAGAATCTGCCGATCAGGTGGGAATAAGGGTGGATAATCCGGAGAATCCCCACGATCACACGGATGCCCTGGGTTCCGCAGGATCAGGAGGAGCGGGGAGCAGCGTACTGGTCGCAGGAGCCTCGCATTCCTTTGGCACCGGAGCCATCGGGCAGCTGGCAAACGGGTACAGCTCACCCTCGTCGAGCTACCGCAAGAATGTGGCCAAAATGGTCACCGATCGACATGCAGCCGAGTACAATATGCGCCACAAGAATCGCGGAATGGCCCTGATCTTCAATCATGAGCACTTCGAGGTGCCCACTTTGAAATCACGAGCGGGAACCAACGTGGACTGCGAGAATCTCACCCGGGTGCTCAAGCAGCTTGACTTCGAGGTTACGGTGTACAAGGACTGCCGCTACAAGGACATCGTGCGAACAATTGAGTATGCATCCTCGCAAAATCACTCAGACAGCGATTGCATCCTGGTGGCCATTTTGTCGCACGGCGAGATGGGCTATATCTACGCCAAGGACACTCAATACAAGCTGGACAACATCTGGAGCTTCTTCACGGCCAATCATTGTCCCTCTCTGGCCGGCAAGCCCAAGCTGTTTTTCATCCAGGCCTGTCAGGGAGATCGATTGGACGGTGGAGTAACCATGCAGCGTGGCCAGACGGAGACGGATGGCGACTCTTCTATGAGCTACAAGATACCCGTGCACGCTGACTTTCTAATTGCCTACTCCACCGTTCCTGGATTCTATTCGTGGCGCAACACGACCCGGGGCAGCTGGTTCATGCAGAGTCTGTGCGCAGAATTGGCAGCCAATGGCAAACGGCTGGACATCCTGACCCTGCTCACATTTGTGTGCCAACGAGTGGCCGTCGACTTCGAGTCCTGCACCCCGGACACGCCTGAGATGCACCAGCAGAAGCAGATCCCCTGCATCACCACAATGCTTACGCGCATTCTGCATTTCCGCGACAAACAGTCGGTTGCAGCTGGACGGGTTTGATGACTATTGGAATGGATTGGGCGCTGGCTTTGGCGCGGTGTGTGATAATCGAGGAAAGGGGTACGAGAGAAATCCAAGTCGCAATTATGATAAAACTTTATTGGCTATCGGCCATAGCTGCATATTTTTATAAAACCAATTTTTCACCGTGGCCAAAAGCTTTGCGAGATTGGAAGCTATATACTACGGAGTCTTATCTACTGGCCGTTTTTTTTTATTTAAGCACAATGTATTTTTCAATTGGCAATTATTATTGCCGCGTTTGCCAGTCTAATTTATAGTAGGGTGGGTGTATTTATATAAATAAGAATTCAAAGAGGCATCTAAAATTTTGCCATATTCAGAATTGAGCTATTAGTATTTAGGCCAAAAATTAAAAAAAAATATTAATTTGACTTGCCTACTTAAAAAACGATCTCGAAATTCAAAATTGTTATTTGAATCTATTCTAAGAACAAATTACTTGCATTTACTCAACCAATTCATTTTGCCTCCTCAGTTAATCAGGAAAGTCAACCCACCCTAATCTTTATCTACTTCAGACCGGGTAAATCGGTCTTTTTTAAAATGTGTACACAAAAATATCTTTAAATATTAAGCATGTGTGTCATGATCGTCCATAACAAAAACAAACATTTTTAGCCTGTAGTTGAGAATTTTATGAACAACATGTACTATCTATACCATTTTTACTCTTATATAATACACATTAGCAAATGTTTTCCTTTCAAGTTTTCAGCTAATAAAAACGATCGAAAACAATGGAAAATCAATGACCATTGGGTGTTGACCTTGTATACTTTTTTTGGGCGTCAAGTTGAGCAGGATTTCCTGAAAAGGCATTACCGACAGAGAGAAAAGTAAACAAGGCGAGTTATTGGCTGACCCTGTTGTACGATTTCAGAGCTTACAATTACTTTATTCTTAGAGCTGGACAAAACGAAAATAAATTCCAATTTAGATTTCACTTAAAGCACACGGGGAAGGGTAGAATTTTAAAGCCTGTCAGCGGATCCGACTCTGAGGCTGGGTAAATGCACGTTTCTGATAACTTCAACTAATAAAAAACGTAGAATTTTTGCTCACAATTTGCTAGTTGAGGAAGATCTAGATGTGGCCGCCCTCCTTCAGCTTGGCAACCAGGGCATCCACGTCGGCGACCGTTGCTCCGGCCTGGCGCACCGGAGGATCCTCTACGGAGACGACCTCAATTCGCGGCGAAGTATCCACACCGAGATCCTTGGCCGTAATCTTCTTCAGCGGCTTCTTCTTGGCCTTCATGATATTTGGCAGCGTAGCATAACGCGGCGTGTTCAGGCGCAGATCAGCACTCAAAACAGCCGGTATCTTTGTCTTGATTGTCTCCAGACCGCCGTCAATCTCACGGGTGATGGTCAGACCGGCGTCCGTCTTCTCGATCTTGTTGCAGAAGGTGCCTTGCGGCCAGTCTAGCACGGCGGCAGTCATCTGGGCCGTCTGGTTGGCATCGTCATCGATGGCCTGTTTGCCCAGGATCACCAGGTCGGCCTTCTCGTCCAGCGCCAATTTGGCCAGGATCTTGGACACGTGGATTGGCTGCAGCAGCTCGTACTCTGCGGCCGGAATCTCCACGTGGACGCCACGATCGGCGCCCATGGCCAGGGCGGTGCGGATCACCTCCTGCGACTGGGCAGGACCCACGGAGACTGCGATCACCTCCTCCGCCAGCTTCTTCTCCTTCAGCTTCACAGCCTCCTCCACGGCGATCTCGTCGAAAGGATTCATCGAGTGCTTCACGCCCTGGGTGACCACACCTGTCTTGTCGGGCTTGACGCGGACCTGGACATTGGATGAAGGTCGAAATTACTTTAATTGCCATTTAATTAAAGCGATTACGCAAAACAAAGCGCAACAAGTGATAAAAAAAAGATGGGAAAAGATACGCAACAGGCTGTTACTAAAGCTCACCTTGACGGCGTAGTCAATCACACGCTTAACTCCAACCAAAACTCGCGCCATTTTCTGCAAAATATATTTATAATTTAAGAAATTGATTAAATTTTTTTTAATTTCAAGAACTTACCTCTTCAAGATGGAAATTAACTGATTTGTTGGTGCAGGGAGAGCGGGTGGTCCAAAGGTCTTGTGTGCCTTCAGTGTTGCCAGACTGCGGTGCCAAAGTTTTAGGGCTAGAAAAAAGCTAAAAATATTAAAAAAATGCAAGTATACAAAATGTTTATTTAAATAAACAGAAAAAGTTTTTGGAAAACATTTTGGTCATGTCTAAGAAACATTTCAAGGTTGTCTACGACATGGATGTTGTTTTTTCTGTGTTGATGTAAAAACTCTGTTACCGAAAGAGAAATAGCAAACATAATAAAAAGTCAGATTTATGAAAGTAAACAGTTTTTTCAAGATTTCCAGACTAATATAAATAAAAAAGTAATTTTATAGATTTCAAATCTCTCAAAAATGTACAAATGTAAAAAAAAAGGTAACTTTCTGCATTTAGCCATCTGTCTAATCTATTTACAATATAACATATTCTAATCATACTTATTGACCCCTTTAAATGAGATTTTAAACCTTTCGAGATATTTTCTCAAAAATTTGAAATGTAACAGAAACAAAACGTTATGCATTAAGCCATCCGTCTTCTGAATTTAAAATACAAAATATTCCAATCTATTTATTAACTGCTTTAAAAGTAATTTCAAACCTTTAGAGATTTTTGTGAAACTACTTCTATATTGGAAGAATATCTTAATAAAGTGAAGCTTCTTAAAAAATATTTAATTATATCGGTAAGCATTAAATATCGGCAACCTACTCCAACGCAAATGAACCTGCGGTTTTTGCTCCTCTCTACCGGCACTCAGCTGTTGTACTTTCACCGTAATCATCTTTTCGCAGCGGCGAAAACATCCCAAATCCATTCCAATCTTTGAAAGATCTCTCATAAACATATCCCAAAACAAATAAGATAACGATGGCTGCGACTGCTCCAGTGATCATGCGCGTCATGGCGTCCTCGATAAGCACGGCAAAGCGGGCTGGCGGGATCATACGCGATGTGCTCAAAAAAGGCGACCTCGGAATAGTAGACAAGGGAAAAAACGACTTACAGACAGAGGCGGATCGCTGCGCTCAACGCTGCATCATCGCATCTCTGACCAAAAAGTTTCCAACTGTGAAGATCATCGGCGAGGAAGGAGGTTCCGACCTAAACGTCTGCGACGATTGGCTGGTCTCAGAGCTGGATGAAGGATTCTTACAACAAAGCTGCCCGTCGGAGTGGGAGGATGTCAAACCCGAGGACTTTGTAATATGGGTGGATCCCCTCGACGGCACAGCGGAGTACACACAGGGTAAGATTTAGAGAACTCTGTTAAGCTCCCGATCTAAAAGTCACTCCTTTGTTTTCCCGCAGGGCATGTGGAGCACGTTACCGTACTTATTGGGATAGCTGTCAAGGATTCTGCGGTGGGCGGCATCATCCATCAGCCCTTTTACAAGCAGCCCGATGGCGAAATGGGTCGCACTATTTGGGGCCTCAAGGGTCTGGGAACTGGAGGATATACAGCGGTGCCCGCTCCACCCGGCCAATTCATCATCACCACCACACGCTCACATTCCAATGCCCTGCACCAGCAAGCTCTTAATGCTTTCGCATCCACAGAGGTTCTAAAAGTTGGAGGAGCTGGCTTTAAAGTTCTGCAGCTTTTGGAGGGCAAGGCCCATGCCTACGTATTTGCCACGCCGGGATGCAAGAAGTGGGACACCTGCGCACCCGAGGCCGTGCTGGAAGCCCAGGGCGGGACCCTAACCAACATCAATGGCGACCACTACGCCTACAACGCGGATGTGGAGCATGTGAATCGTCAGGGCGTCCTGGCCAGCTTGGGACAGAACCATGCCGAACTGGTTGGGAAGATACCCGCAGAGGTGCGGGCGGCAGTGGGAGCCAAGTGAGATAGCATTGAATTCCAGCACTTTATTAGTTTATTTGCACTAAAAGTAAACACATAAATTAAGCAATAACAGGTTAGAGAATTTGACAATTGTTGAAACTGGAAACAAAGTTTATTCTTTATTTATCGAAACTGCCACTGCTGTTGCTGGTCGTGCTGTTGTTGGCCACCGAGCTGTTTAGGTAGCGATTGCGCTTTGCCTTGGACATTTTACAAGAGTTCACAGAGGCGGCAAAGCGTAGCGACTTGACGGACTCTTGGAAGCAGTCTTGGAACGGCGAAACATTGATGAACATGAGGGTCTTTGAGTTGCCACCCAGCGAAGGCATTAAAAGGTGCGTAAGTTTGGAGTTCCGGTACGGAATGTGATCCTGCTTCTGCAGCAACGCCAGGATCACGTTGGTGAGCTCTGAGAGCGATCGATTGATGTTCTTTGTTTCCGTCATGCGGGTGCTCGTCTTCGGAGACTCAGAGCCGGCCAAATCCACCAGGTTTATGGAGCCCACGGAGATCTCTTGCTTCTCGGAATGGCGTCCGATAAGCTCCAGCTTGGTGACAGCATGGGAACGGGAGGAGCGCTCGTTGCCAGCGGTTGAAGCGGTGGCCCGGTTCATCTTGGCTGTGTGCATCAGGTGGCGCAGATGATTGGGATCCAGAACAGTCTCCTCCGTTATGTTAGATACATAGATATCGTTCTTGTTGTTCTTAGCCATCCTAATCTCCATGTCCTTTTGCTCGTTGCTCAGCAGATCGTACAATACCTCGTTATAGATCTCCAAGAACGTAGCCTTGATCTCGTACTCCCAGCCCAGATTGCGATAGCCCCGGATGGAGTCAAAGAGCAGATCCACCGTGCGTGGAATAACGCCCGTACTGTCCGCCACTCCGTCCATCGTGTAGGTCTTGCCACTGCCGGTCTGCCCGTAGGCAAAGATGCAAATGTTGTAGCCATCGAGTGCCGATTGGATAAGCGGCGACACCATCTCGAATATGTCTGACTGGGAGGAGAGCGGATGAAAAACTTGGTCGAAGGAGAAGATCTGCTGGCCCATTTTGTTCTTGGACTGCCCGTCGATGCTCTGCAGCTCAACGGTCGCCTCGTCGTGGTATGTCCAGGTGCAGCACATGCGGTTCTCCTCGGAGTCCAGCGGGGGTCGTATTCGACAGAAGACCCGGATGTTGCCGCGCAGATCCATCACCGTGTTGTGCAGCTCCTTGCGCTCCATGTTCGACTGGAACAGCTGCTCCTTGCAGGTCTCCAGGTCGGCGGCCTGTTGCTCATTGCTGCGCAGTAGTTCATCGGTGCGCTGGCGCAGATGGACAACTTCTGTGGTCAATGCAGCATGCTCCGTTTTTATTTTCTGTAATAAACAGTAATAAGACCTTTGTTTGTTTTTTAAAATTATATTCTTACCTCATGTATTGCCTGCAGCTCGGAGAGCTCCTCTTTAGTCCTGCCCAGTGACGAAGTAATGGTCTCGATATTCTTGGTGTGCTGCTTCACCTGTCTTTGGAGACACTCTTTGTCCGTCTGAGTGTTCTTCAAAGTAGTCTCCGTTTCGATGAGCTTGTTCTGCGCCTCCTCGAGTTGCGTCGGCATGGACTCCAGCTCGCCCATGTCCTCTATCTGCTTTTCATACTTGGTTTTGAGCACCTTGTGCTTTTCTAGCAGATCATGGAAACGGGCTTTGAAATCGTAGGGGGCAATGCGCTTTGCGGTGGTTCCAGCAGCACCCCCCGTGCTGGATGCCCCTCCTCCTCCTGCGGGCTTAGCTTTGGTAGTTGCCGGTGCTGCAGCTCGAGGAGCAGGACGCGTTACTGGCGGTCTTTTGGGAGCAGCGTTGGCTGTTGATAAGGAGCTGACCGGTGGACGAGCTGGTCGATGGCTGGGAGCAGCTAGTGTGCTGGCCAGGCGAGAGACTTTGCTGGGAATACTGGGCAATGTAGGAGCGGCAGCAGTCCTCTTGTTTCCGCGCAGTTCATTGATGTCACAGGCGCTCCTACTTCGTCTTAGCTTGGCCCGGTTGCCAATCTTCATGGGTTCGGGAGAGGCTGCACGAGCTGCACAAAATAAGTAAAGAATTAGATGGGAATCCTTCGAAAAAGTTGCTTGAACTCACCTCCTCCGCGGCCCTCAAGGACTTGCGGCAGATTGTTAAGGTCGCGCGACAGAGGCGGCAGCAAGTTGCCGCAGTAGGTTTGATTGGCATTAAAGGCGCTAATTCCACCAGCTCCCATTAATCCCAATCCTGCAGGACCTCCTGCGCGAATGCGATCTGTGGGCAGCACGGTTTTCACTGGCATCTGGGGCCTTTTGAGGGCCGACGGTTTCGGCAACCGTGATTCCATTGCCAACTTGGATATACTTAATTTAGGAGATAGTTTTTCACTCAACTAAACGCTTGCAATTGCTTTTATCAATTAATTGTTCGTTGTTGATATTCACACAAGCGACGCCGCTAGTTCCCGCCGTTATTTTCGATTGCAGGGATGCCCTGGAAAAGTGTGACCGTTTACACAGAATTTGTCGTGCTGCCACCTTTTCCTCTTCCAGTTGCCAATCAGATGTTTTCAGTGCTACAGCTTTGGCCATCGGGCACGACTTTTCGCCTTGATTCGTGTTTTCGGCAGGTTTTCCGCGAGTGAAAACCGCCCAAGCGGGTGTAAAAATAGTAGCTTCTATTCTCGAAACGTGCCTCTCGTGCAAAAGCTAGGCGAAATAATTTAACAGCCCGAAAAGTGAAGATTTGTGCGCAGCACACGTGGCGTTGCCAGACAGTTGTGACAATTCGCTTTGGATTCATTTTTGGCGATTATCCAAATTTTCGCGACGTTAGCAGTGCGGAGGGAGGCCGCGCATTTCTTCAATATTAGTTATTCTATTAAATCTGCGAAAAATCGCGTTCCAATTGGAAAATTGTTGCGTGACAAAGGAGTTGCCAGACCAACCACAAGTCTCACGGGTCCACCTCTACTTTGTTTTCATTCGGAAATTGGGAAAAAGCTCATTGGACTGCACTGATTTGCCGAATTAAAATTGGAATAGTGCGTTCCCACGACCAAGAATCCCCTCGAGATGTCGGGGCATGCGGAGCTCAAGGAGCTGGGCATGTTCGAGCTGCGCCCTCTGGTCACCAACCTCAGCTGCAAGCTGTCCGCGGTGACGGCGGGTCTGGACGAAAAGCAGTTTTTGTGCCTGGTCAGCGAGGACAATGAGATCCTGCTGCGCTACATCAGCGCCTCCTCCGGCCAGGAGGTGGTCAAGATGATATCCTGGTTCCGCAATCGCGTCATTCACGACGTCTGCTTCGATCCGGCGGGCGTTTGGCTGCTGGTGCTATGTGAGTACCACCCACTTTTTGGTTGGGGGTGGTGGTGCTGATAAAATTACTCTGCCCTCATGTGTGCGTGTGTGATTATTGATTTTTTGTTGCTTTCTCTGTTTTGATTTAACGATCGAATAGTACACCTTTCTGACCACTGATCCATCAACAGGTTTCGACAACACGCTGCACATTGTGCCCGCCCTGGCGCTGGTGGAAAAGAGTCATGGCCTGGCCTCCTCATCGCTGTACAGCACCAGTCAGGTGACCTCCTACATCATACCCTTCGTCGGTCCGCACGAGTGCCCCAACTCCAAGAAGTGCCCTAATCACTCGGCGGGACTTTGCGAGCCAACTGTGGAACCGGTAGAGCAGCTGGCTGAGAATCTGGAGCAGGTTAGGCTGCAGGAGGAGGAGGAGCCACTGGGTCACGATCTGCCGGAGCACATGCTGGTGAGGAATAGCGGCACAGAGGAGACAGGAGCACAAGCGCAGCAACAGCAGCCCATCGATGCAACCGGCAACAGCCAGGTGATGGCCACCTCCTTCATGGCGTCCAAGACCTGCCCCTATCCTCTGTCCGTCGTCTGGTGGAAGACCAACAGCGGTCAAAATAGGGCCATTATAGGATACTCGGATGGATCCATCTGCTTTGTGGGCCTAAGTCCCAACTGCCCCATGATCGCGAGCACTGCCATCGAAAACGGATCTGTGATGCGTCTAGTTATCTGCAAGGATAAAGCCTACGATGGCGTCATGCTGTTGGTAAGGATTTACGCTAGATTATGGGTTTTAAAATCCATTTATTTTAAAATGAGCATCAGGACCATTCCGTTGTTGATATTGAAATAATACAGTTTATAATGCTTAAAAAATTAACAGACTCTATTCTAATCGAAAAAAATTGGTCAAATAGAAAAACTACAAAATATTCATTGAAATTGATTTTTAAACGGTTTTTTCAAATTATTTATCTGTAAAAGGTATTTGTATAAAGATCCCACTAAAGTTCATTCCGGTTTTCAGATAACTTCGTCACTAAAACAGCAGTACAAGCTCTTGCTAGAGCAAAAGGCAATCAAGTACGTATATCCTGGAGACAGTTCACCGACGACCCGTGAAGGAGCCTGGCAGATCGTAATGTCCGTGCAGGGCAAGCAGCAGAATACGGTGACAGGCGCCCGACAAAGCAATAGTTCCGACCCGGCCTCGGATAGCAGCCAGTTGGAAGAGGACGTCTTCGCACCGCCGTCTAGCGAGGATGCAGCGGGCAGCAATCAAGCAGCGGCAACTGCAGACTCGTCCACCGTTCCGGCGCCCACAGAGGCAACAACTGCAGATGTTCCACCACCGCCAGCGCCGCCTTCTTACAGCGAGGCAGTGGCCCGGCAAACAAACGAGCAACAAGGAGGCGTTCGCTTCCAACAACAACAACTGCCAGCGGGCAGCATGGATGGCATTTTGCCCGCGACGAGAGCCCGCCTAGCATCGCTCAAGAGTTTGGGATCCAAAAAGTTACAGGCCATCAAGATGCGCCTCTCCGATCAGCGGCAAAAGTTCGATGAATGTGCGTAAGCTAACATAACTGAAGGCATTGTTTATTCCATTCCCTTTTTTAACATATTTTCTTGACTACATTGCGTTTATCTTTGTTAATTTTGAAATGCTGTTTTATTGTGTATTTTAAAATTTGTTTTATTGATGTGCAGTTTTGAGAGAACTGTTGCATCTATTGAAGCGTCACTTGCGTGGTGAGTTTGCACAACTCTCACACTTGACAGACCTAGTAGAAGCAGCTAAAGTCTTTCATTGAGAAAATTGACTTATTTTAATCCATTCTATTTGTTTTAGTTATGCCGGACTCGACGATGGGCTCGTTTGCAATCATGGATTCGCCCTCAGTAACGCCAGAGCCGCTGGGAACCACCACTGGATCCTTTTACACCATCCAGAATCTGCGCAGCACCTTTCTACTAAGTGCATTGCATAGCAATAGTCACAGTTTGACCGTGCACAGCATTGACATCAGTCTGAAGCCATTGTTCGTTTACAAGATTCCGAAGCACACCCAGGAAATACTCATAAGCTCCAACATACTCTACGGTATACACTACGTAGACCTGCACTGTCGCAGTGACTCGGCCATTTCCACCGCGGCCTCATCGCTGGAGGATCCGATGGTGGCCAACACAGACAAGGAGAATCGGGACGCGGACATTGAGAAGCTGGAGCAGGCGGAGGTTAGTGCCCAGAAGAGTGATACAACCAGTGCAACAACTACGGCCACCTCGAGCCTGGATCAAAGCGAGATGCCCAGCAATGCCATCAATGCCGTGAGCGTGATCAGCAGTGCAATGGCCTCCCTCCATACTACCGACGAAGATGTGAGTTCCGTGTTATTCGTATGAGTGTTTCCCATTTTCTAATACGATTCTTCTGCTACAGCGCTTTAATAATCTGGCCCAGTTAGGTCTCTTTCGCTTTGAGCATGAAACTGTGCTGCATTTATATCAGATGGCACAGTACCGCAATCCCGCCGACCAACCAGAGACCCTTACCAAAGAGGAGAAGGCCAAGGCTTTTGAACTGAAAGATATCCACACGCCCATGGATTACATCCAGTTCTATGAGACGGCGGATGTCAGCAGTGAGTTTTCTCTGCGCCAAATGGAGATAATGCAATCCGAGTTCCCGAAGATTAACTACGATCCAAGCTATGTGATCACCAATAAAAATGTATATACAATACAGCTGAGGTATGTTTTAAATTTTTTTTCGCTGGGCGATTCTTTTTTTAAATTTTCTTTACAGAAAGGAGCCGTTTGAATTGTTTTTGGATGCCGCTCTGCAGAACGAGTTTAATCAGTGCCGCGACTTCTGCAACACTTTTGACCTCTCATTCGAGCAGTGCATCGAATTCGCTGGTGATTATCTTTTGAGGCGAAAGAAGATTACCCAGGCTTTACTCACGTACAACGTGGCCCGGGTGAAACCGATACGCACAGCTTTAAAACTGGCCATGTACGGACACACATACGCCCTAATGCAGCTGAGCGCCATGGCCCTAAAGTCAACATATCTGCTGCGATCGAAGTACTTGGGTCACCCGCTGCTCAAGGGCATTTTGGGAGACATTACATACCGACACTCGGAGGATGTACGAGTGATCTTGCCCGAAAAACAGCAGCAGGGGGATGTTATTAGCGGCGCCGTTTGCAGCGACTATCACTATGGTGTGGACGAGTCAATTAGCTCCCTTCAAATGTCGCCTTCATCGCAGTTTCATTTGGCGAACTTGTTGCTCATTACGATGGCCGAGAAGGCAGTGAATGATAAGAACTATATACCGCTGTGGTAAGTAAAGTGGCTTTTATTTTGTATTAACTTTCTAAATAACTTTTAAAAATTATAGGAACTTTCTGGTGACCAATAGCAAATATCACACCAACATGACGAGCATTGTTCTTTGCCAAAGTGGACTCTTCTCGTCGGCCATTATATTGGCAAAAATACGAGGTGTGTGTTTGGATACATTTAATGCTTTGATCAGCGTGGTGGCCCAGGAGTTCGGCTGGTACAACGAGCTCAACGTTTGTCTGTACAATCTGAGCGAAAATATATTTATGGAGACAATAACCTACTTGCCGCATGTGTCCATGGATTACTTTGCTTTCATCCAGGAGAAGCTTGATCATATAAGACCTTGTGTGTTGCAGGTAAGGATATTGGTTTAAGATTTTGTAACACATTATTTTATAAATAATTGTTTTCAGCGTCTGTCCAAGCAACTGAACCCCTTTTCTCCCGCTCTACGGCCTATTGTATCCCACAACAGCGACTGCGCGATGTCTAATGATAATAATCCCCAGTTATTTGAGTTTTGCAAAAGTCTAATTGAAACATATTTGGCAGTGCTCATACATATGGAATCCCAGCGGGTGAAGCATGATTCTATTGTGAATGCTTTATCGAATTTCCGTATAAACTATGAAGACAATCAGGCAAGTTTTTTAACTATCTTCATTCTTAGGACTAAATGAGTTTTTCTTTTAGTTTGCCATTGAATCTTCACGTTTCAAACCGATCTCAGCTGGTTGTGCCTACTGCGCCTGTGTTGTGGATGGAACCGCATACTTCTGGGGCTCCAGTGGCATTCCCAGTTATTATAGTGCTCAAAAGTCAACAGGTTAGATTTCTTGTCATTTTTTAATTTTTATAAATTTATATAATAATAATTTGTATTATTTCAGAGCCACCAGAACCAGCGCATGCTGTAAAAAGCCTAGATCTCCTTTCCCAGCTCAATTTGCAAGTGCACGCTATTAAGTGTGGACGACAGCATACACTTATTCTAACTAATAATGGCGTAGGTTTTTAATCTTGAGTTTAATGATTTTATTGAGTTATTTTATTAAATTTTACTGATCATTGCAGCTTTATTCAGTGGGAAATAACAATCTTTGCCAGCTGGGTATTGGACGGCACATGCAGATGGCTTTGCAACCGATGTTGGTGACGGCTTTGGATGGCATGAATATAACGATGCTCGAGGCGGGTCAATATCATAATGCGGCTGTGGCGGATGGCAAGCTCTATATGTGGGGGTATGCTCACGGCCGGATTTGTGTTGTATGAAAACTGATTAACTTATTTTAAACCATTTTTAGATGGGGCGTCTATGGCCAGCTGGGACAGGGCAGCTGCGAGAATATTGCTACTCCACAACTAGTCAGTTTTTTCAAGTTTAAGGTAAGTCAAATGATCCTGTAACTAGCACAATCCTACTACTCCTTTTTATTGTAGAAAATTTTACAAATATCGCTGGGCCATGCGCACACTTTGGTACTGTGCGGGGCATCCAACAACTACATGGAGGCTAACTACTGCAGCAACGAGCTTTTCGTATTCGGCTCCAATCACTTTGGTCAGCTTGGCACCGGCAATAGCGATCACGGAGGCGACACCAAGATAAACCTGCCAATGCTCCTGGAAGTGGGCGGCTGCAGCCTAAGACTGATACACACCAAATTTTTTACCAATGTAAGTTAAAGGTGTAGGATTGTATTCCAAGATATATGCTTTCATCCTTTTACAGTTAGCTGTAGACGAAAAGGATCGTCTGTACACATGGGGTAGTTCGCCACAGGCTTTGCGCCTAGCCAATCAAATAAAGCGTCGCGCCAACGCCAAGCAGAAAATGGAAGAGAACCAGCAACGTGAGCTCTTGAGCAAGCAATTGGAGGCTACTCTGCTGCCGGCACCCATCCCGAGTACCAGCGTCCTGGTGGAGCCCACCACATCCTATGCAGCGGTGGTGTCCGGAGCCACACCGAAGGCCCCCAGCGAGACCAAAGATTGCCAGGAGGCCCAGAACGAGGCAGCGCCGTCAGATGCTACGGAAAAAATTGCCCCGGCGTGTATGCGAGAGCCGGAAATACTTAAAGCGACCCCACCGCCACCCACTGCGGTTCCTGCACCAGCTCCTGCTGCTGCCACCGAACCGGATCCCACGGAACACCTGACACCTCATCTGGTGGATACCAGCGAGGTGGCAGGACAAATTCTGCAGGTAAGTGAGAGTGGAATATATAAAACAGCATTTTTAATTCTAATCAATTATTTTTCTCTTTGCAGATCTCCAGTGGCCTGTTCCACTTCTGTCTGATCTCGTCCAGCTGCACGCTCTACACGTGGGGCAAAAACCTGGAACACCAACTGGGCACCGAGGACAAGGATCGACGGGCGGTGCTAAAGCCTTCGCCCATTGATAGCATAGAACGTCCCATGTACGTAGACTGTGGTGCGGACTTCACGCTGGTCATGACCACCGATCACATTGTGCGAGCCTTTGGCGGCAATTCGAACGGCCAGTGTGGCCGAGATTTGGGACCCAGCGTGGAGAGAATGCGACAGAGAGTAGTGTGCCTGCCGACCACTAAACGACTGATGCGATTCGAGAGCCAGTGCGTGGGAGCGCCAGTGGAGATTAATCTACCGAGACCGCGCATACGTCTGGACCAGGATCCAGTGAGATATCTAAAGGTTATGCCACCATATCAGCCGCACTTCCTGCAGCCGGCAAACATCAGCTTCGATCAACACTACTCTGTGGGCACTCCAAACTACAAGAGCAGCACGGAGCACGCGGCAACTGGGCAGGACTCGGACGATATGCTGAGTAGCCTTGAGAACCTTAGTCAAAACGATGGTAGCTTCTCGTACAATGCGCCAGTGCTGGGAGACGCCCACAGCTCTATCGATATGGACTACACCCCCGAGGAGCAGAGCTATGTACCATTACCTGGCCAGGCTTTGGGTTCTGGGATACCCGTGCATCCGGAGAAACTGCTGGACCGAGATGATGACGATGCCAGCACCTTTACGCAGAGCACCGAGGGAATGGAAGGGACGTCACTGCAACAACTGCGTCATTACATTCACTACTGCCTGTACGCCTTTCATGGATTGTACAATCCCGACAAGATTAGCGAATGCGCCCGTCCAAATCGCAACGAATACCGCATACGTATCTGTATGCTCAACTTTCGATTCGTGGAAGCCTTCCGGTTGTGTCTGCAAAGCTGCGATTCCGCCCAGCGCACGCTCAAGTTGTTCGAGTACTTCAGCAAGGACACGGGCTATGTGCCTCTAAGGAGATCCGATCTGAAGCACCTCATCTATCACCTGTGTCTGCACTTCCTCGAGCGCAAGTTTGATATGCTGGAGTGTGAGCGGTTTTTCATGGGCGATCTGGACTACTATCTGCTGGAGCTGGCCTACGTCTTCTACTTCAACAACAATAATTCGACGCTGGAGCAGAATCTCAACCAGAAGTTCAAGCAGCTTATTGCGGCGGCGGACAGCAATCAGGCGGCTTCGTCGGCGGGTCAGGAGCATCAGCAGCAGCAGCTCCAAGACACCGATGTCATATTCGATAGCTTTACGGTCAAGTTCAAGACGATCCTGTGCCAGCGCCTGCTCAGCTACTCGGACTGCGAGGCTGCCAATTAGCAGTGGCTGGGCCCTGGAAACTCGTTTCCGGTCCTGAATCCCGTCAACTTCCGTTCGACACGCATCAGTTGAGGGCCCATCTTTGTCGTCCGTCTTGTTTAATATGTTTCGTTGTAAATTCAGTCCGAGAACCGGGGACTGCCCTTAACACACACACAGACACACCCCACCCTTCCTCTTCCCTTACATGTTTACGCCTAATTATATATATATCATAATTGTTGTTTGCGGTTATTTATACATCAAATGCTTTTTACAGCGCTGTTATTTAAACGAAATATTTAAGACAAACAAATTGTTTAAAGAATCCAATTTTTGTAACGCTTTGTTTGCCATTGGCTACGCCTGCTTTTATTTGTTTACTCAATAAACTAAATAAATATCTGAAACCGAAAGAAAGTAATCCAAAACTGCTCATCGAACATAACAAAAGGAGGCTGCAGGATATAAACTATATTACATACACATTTTTTGTTTTTTATTCGATATTCAGCTTGTGATTTGCAATTATTTAATGAAACCAGAGTAGAATTAATATAATTATATACACATATATATGATTAACAATAAAATACGTTTATACAAATAAAAAAAAGACGAATCTACAGTTTGAGCTTGATGTTGTCGGTTGTCCATCGCTTGCTCTGTAATGTTTTCAGGGCGTTCTCGCAGTAGAACTGTTCCTCGGAACGCTCGGGCAAGGTGTCCTTCAGCTGCTGCAGTTCCTGCTGTTGTTTCATCCCGGCCATAGCATCGATCACCGCCTTGATGCACTTCACCCGCCTAGCTAGGTCCAGTTTCTCCCCACTATTGCCCATCTTGGAAAGAAATAGCTGGAGAACGGTAGACGGAGCTTGCAGTTCGTAGAGACGAAGAACGGCTATAGTCAGATCGAAGCTGATGTGGAACTGCTTGGTCTTCAGAGGATGCCAACTGGGCACACGTTCGAATATGCATTCCAGATCTGCATACGCCTGGGCCTGTGCCCGTTCATTGAGAGCAGTCCACTCGTACTGAGCTGCGGAAATTTGCTGATCGGCGGCAAATCGCTGAGGCGATACAGACTTAAGCATATCCTGCTCCTTCCAGTTGCTGTTGGCCTGGCAGCAGGCATATAGTACTTCAATAGGCGTGGGCTGATCTTGGAGCTGTTTGCTCAGGCCATTCTCCTTCTCCATTAGCTGCTGCATCTTGAGAGCAGCATGGAAAACTTGTTCGTAGAGCGGTATAATACCCACTCCCGCAGTGGCATAGGCATCAACCAACAGCTGGAGATGCTTTTTTCTGATGCTTAGATCTCCGGCCGCTAAGGCAGCTTGGAACTGTTTAAGAGCCGCCTCCTGGTGGCGTCCAAATCGCTGCAGCAACTCTATATGGCTGGCCAAATCGCCGCTTTCCTTCAGATAACTCAGATACTGCTCCAAAGCCTTGGGACGCTCCCTTAGAATTCCATAAAACTGAATCGAATTTAGGGTCCTCTTGAGAAAAAGCAACACGGTGATGACAGCATGACCACCACCTTGGACCAGAAGGGTGTCCAGCAGCTGCTGCTTTTCCTGCAGTGACTTAAACATCTCTAAAGGAGCCGTTTTTCCCTGCAACAACTTCTGGGCCGTGGCTTCAAGATTTGGACTATACAGAGTGCTTTGGAGTTGGCGGCGCAGCAGTTTGAGCTCCTCCTCCGGCGAAACTCCCTTTGGTAGGACCCTGTCGTCCAGTGCCTGCTCTTGGAGCACCAGTTTTAGGGCATCCTCGCTTAAAATGGATTTAATGGAGAGGTTCAGGGTGGCACTGTTGTTGAAGCTGGCCTCCGAGATGGTGTCGTCGGCGAGGATTCCATTGCTGGTCAACTCCGGCGCGAGGTCCACCTCGTCCTCATCATCAAAACTGAACGCCACTCTGGAGGATCGGTTCCAATAGGTCTCACTGTCGAATTGCAGGTCCATTGTTTTTATTTTGATATTTTGTTTTGAACAGTGTGGCCGCGACTAAAAAACAATGAATTTGCCGTTCCGTTTTTATAGCTTTGCACACATGGTCGCACTATTTTTGAAATCCAAATATTTAAATTTTAAAACCGTTACTAAGACTTACTCCACTGTAACTAAAAAAATGTTTAAAAAAAATACTCGCTCGCCAATTATTAGGCGCTGAAATTTTTGATTGATAGTTAAATAAACAAGATAATAATCGACCGACATTTTTAAAAGGAGTTTATGGCAATAAGCAAAATATGGGAAATCTTTAACTACAGAAATAAACTTTGAAGGCTTAATTTAGCAGCACATTAAACTTTATCATAAATGCTTTTCTCTTTCTAACGCAGTTTAACGACCAAATTCTGTATAAAAAATTAACTTTAAAGGTGAAAGCATTTACTTGAAAGTTGTTCTGTTGGTGGTGATGTGTGTTATTCTCTCGCCAGTGAAAACTTTTAAACTAAAACCAACATTTTTAGTATTTGCAATAATTATTAGGTCAATTTATTTAATAGCTTGTTTAACCATGGGTATAGCGAATCTAGTCGTGAATAAACTCCAGGCTTATCGGCCAGTGCGCATCCCACTCCCCAGGACACAATACCAACCAGTTGCTCCCTGACGGACAGGGGTCCTCCGGAGTCCATTTGGCAGGCATCCGTGCCTCCGCGAAGATATCCCGCACAAAGCATCCGATCTGTAACTATTTTGCCTAGTAAATTTCTGCAGGCCGTTTGATTGACGATCGGAACTCGAGCATATCTTAGACCGTCTGATGGAGGTCCATTCATGGACTTAAATCCCCAGCCGGCAATTGTGGCATAAGTTCCATCCGCTATTTTTTTTGGGTTTACAGGGATAGCCTTTACCTGAAAAAGAAAGCTGTTAAGTTGTACTTGTAAGTTTACTCTGTAGTTTTTAAAATCCCAACCTTATTGGATAACGTCAAATTGTTCCTTAACCGAATTATTCCAATATCATAGTCCATAGTCTTGGCGTTGTACTTCTCATGGGTGTGCAGATCGGCAACCGAGAATAATTCCCCATCATTGTGGTATCGCGAGGTTCCACCAACCTTTACTTTCAGCAGACGATGCGACACACCAGTCAAGCAATGGGCTGCCGTCAAAATGGTACGTTTATTTATTATTGAACCCCCGCAATGGTGGATTCCATACAATTGTATGGATACTATATACGGAATGTTGGATATATCAGTTGGAAATCCTCCAACTATGCGTGGATCTGGTCGATTCTCCGCACACGAGCATAAAGAAAAATGATATAAAAGTAATATCAACAATAACTTGCCCATCATTTGCACTTAGTCGGAGAAAGATCCTATTAAAGTAGGAATGTGCGCCGTTTAGAACAGTCTTTAAGTACAGAAGAACGTGAAAAATAATGAGAAAAAGCATTTCAATAAGTGCCCATTATTTTGTAATTAGGAAAAAGTTTTGCTTATCTCATAACTGCCTACAAAAGATTTCCGCCAGACTATAACTAAACGTTCGTGCTGTAAGTTATTAAGACACGGACTTATTAAAGTATATAATAATTGGTGAGTAAAATGGAAGGAAAGAACGTAAATTTATTTGATCAAATTAGATTTTTTGTGGATCTTTTAAAATATTTTTGTATGTCTAGTCTGTGTAGTGACTATTGTCAGTGCCAGAGAATAGGTTTATAATAAAAGATAAACGGTCCGCAGATATAGTTTGGAATCTGCTATAAATCATCAATAACCGGTAAATTACATTGGGCTTTCTTCGGTCTACTTCGCCTCTATTTTGACACATTCGCGGCAATATCATCTGAATAGAATTAATGGCCAAATTTGGTCTCCACACATTTATTGTTTGCCCAATTTGTTATCAAAGCACGACCCGTTTCTTGAAGAACGGACTCGAAAACTGATTTGCATTGGCTTGACCCATAAATTTGGAAATCAAACACCGTTTGATGGGCCATTCTAGTTTTACATATCCAGCTTGAAAGCGCTGGATGTTTGCTTACCGGCTATCTCCGACTGTCTTTGCCAATAAAGTGGGCTATTCAAGATCGGCAGATAGCATTGATCTCTGGCCGTAGGATGGGATCTGAAATTGAGTAAAAGTAAACACCGAAACCTAAACCCACACACAATGTTTCGGTAGATTTAATTTAAGCCGATTAGGCGAGTGTGTGCAGCTAGAATGAGAGAAAATGGGTAACAAACGATTTCACGTGTACCTCATTAGTGAAAGTGAAAAATAATAAAAACGCAAGCGACAGTTATAAGCCAAAACCCATTATTACGCCCAGGTTTTACGCGTAGGTCTGCGCAGGGCCCCAAGGTGTTAACAGGCCCATAAGAAAATTATTAGACGAACCCAAGTGGAATATACATTTTATTAACAGGTAAAGAGAGTGGAGAGTTGAAAGAGAGAGAACAGGTGCACATTGTTCTCGACCGTTGACCGCAATTACTCCCCGCGATCGATTCAAAGTAGTTGCATCCCGAACACGTTTGAGTTCGGAGTGGAGAGATCTCATGCAGGTGATTCGACTGCGAGGCGTGTTTACCATGCTAACAATTTCTTTTTATTTGAGATTCTCTCGGTTCCAAGCCTCCACACTCCCATTGCCATTGCCATAGCCCCGAGACTTTCTTTTGTAAGAATTCCGAACTCCATCCCGCTCTCTTCTGCAGGTTGGTCGTCTTCTCTGTCTCTTCTTTCTTCTCCGTCTCGAAAGACAACAAACCAGCACCACCAGCCTGCTCCTACAGAACTTCTTTATCTAATTTTTATAACAAGTCACTCGGCGGCATTGAAGACTTCAGTTCTGCGGCGACCATCGAATGGTCAAGTTCGGCGTTTCCTTTGTCCCCAGTGCGAAGTGTTTTGGGCTGCGAAAGTGTTTTGTTTCAGTGTGACTAAGCTGAAATTCCGACTTCGGGATAGACTGTAAAAATAACTTGTTAATTAGGTAATTGTTTGGAAAAGTTTTAATGCCAAGGGGAGTTTAATTATATTTAATAGAAATGCCCCATCATATATATTATAACATAGGCCCGTTGTGGGAACAGATACATAGTAGTTTGCTTGGTTTTTACATCAAATCGAACCGCTACACAGATATGCACCTCCTGCACTAACTGAAGAATAACTAAGAAAAATCTGAAAAAAATGTTAACCGGTTTATTTAAACGGCAGTGATCAAGCTGACGGATGACTATGGCCAGCATTGAAAAAACGGAGACAATCATTCTGAATAAGTGAACTAAAAGACGGAGGAAAAGAGTCTGCTGCTGGTGCAAAAACGCACGAAACGAGAAGAAATTGTGTAAAATGCAAAAGGCCCATGTTTTGTTCGCCACGAAACATCAGTCCGCAGCTTCCGTCAAAACATTAGCGTACATTAGGACGTCCGTTTTGGAATGGCTTGCAAACTGCAGATTGCAGACTGCAGACGGCAGACTGACTTGACGGATGACGCGACTTGGTATGGTCTTCTTGGCCATAATGGAGTAAATATTTCACAAAATATGCAAGACTAATAGGCAGAAATGGGAAAACCATAGGAACATAAATGCTAAACATTAACACTGAAGTTCGTTAGACCCTTGATTATCCCACAAATCTTTAATTTGCCATATTCAAAATTTCGCCAAATTGGAAATTAATTTAACAGTGTGAATTCTACCGTTAAGTAAAGCAGCATTTTAGCGAATGAAGAAATGAAGTCATTAACACATTCAGAATGGTGAAAGTTTTTTTTTGGCGGCTGCGGTTCCTCTTGAAGCTTGGATTTCTATTGACTTTTCGGCTGGCTGGTAGATCTTTTAATTACATCATGCAACTGGAAATAGGCTGAATGTGAATGGAATTGAAGTCGGTCAGAATGGGTGTAGTCGCCTTTGGAATTAAATAAAAGTCATTAAGACGAACAAACAAAATCGAGTAAAATAAAAGAAAAATTTCGAAAGTGCCAAGAAGTTAACAAGTGCTGATTGACCGAAACAGTGATCTCAAAGCGGCATTGTGATGTGTTTATCTGATTGATTGTTTGATATTGATGCCGTGCAAATTGTTTAAGAACTTTATTTATTAAAACGGTTCCAGTTGTCGAGTGCCGAAATAGAGAAGTATTTTAGAATTAAAAGCTAGTCTTGTTCATATGAACCTAATGCTCTCTTTAATAATTCTAATTATACTGATATGGGGCTAGTTGGTCATAATTCAAATTGTTTCTAATAAATGTAGTATAATAGAATTTTTTGACAAAAGAAGAAAACATTAATGTCCAATTCCTTATTTGAAATCCTACTGCAGATAGAAATTTTATGATATAATTTTTCAACAAGTGTTAGATGCTTTATATGTTACATTATAAGTCCTTAAAAACCCTTCTTACACTTACGTTCAATTTTTCTTGCAAAATAACAAAGGATTTTAAATGAGGGACATGAAAGACAAGAAATGTATTATTCCTTAACTCATATCTTCTTCATACATTGGTATTCCCCACATCCCAACTATTTGTGGTATGAAAACGTTTAGTGAAACCCAAAATTCCTGGCCCCAAAAACAACCATCATTTAACAGTAATTTAGGCAATAAACGACTGCTCGCACTAATCGATTGTGATCAGCGACACAGTTAGGCGGTGCTATTTCCTTCGGGTGTCCATACCGGTTGGGTTTGGGTCCGACCTGATCGCTGCGGGCGCAGCAACCCATACATATGTCTATGCTCGGCAAAACAACTTTTTGACGATAATCATTGACCCAATTCTTCTGCCGCTTTCTACAAGATTTTTGTACAATAACATGGTCATGGACTCGTTATAATGCAGCTTCCTGAGTGGCCATTCTTTACATGGCATTGCTGGCATATGATCATGTGCACCAGACCCCGACATTTTCATAGATTTTAAGCCAGAATCAAATGTGGAGAGGAAAACACACATTCAAAAGTCTTTCAAGCATTTTAACTCTAATTAAGTTACGGCTCGTTTTGACCGGTGCAAGGTTTATGAATCATATTAACGGTATGGTATTTGTGTGTATACCATCTTCTAATAGGAAAGTTTACAAAGCCAGAAGATCGCTTTTGGGCGGAACTCGAACAGTCGCCACAGCGGATTAGTGTGTCTGGTGCGTCGGCAGTCATGCGTTTCTTATACAACCCACCTATCGCCGTATATATTACACAAATTTTTCTGCACACATGGCTATTCATGAGAATTCTAATAAAATAACGGAGTAGAACTGCCAGGTCCGACGACTCCAAATGATGATGGATATATATGTATTTTTGTAATACAGTTATAATGTTAATAAGTCATGCTTCAAGTGGATTCCTAACGAGATATTCGCCAATAGCAATTACCCTACTAGAAAATCAAACGTATTCCCTTCGTAATAATATTCTTTTCTATAATTGAATTGTTGTCCCGAATCAAGTATTTGTATTAATAATTTTCAAAATTGTGCATTCCCTTTTGGGTTATTATTAAACAACAAAAAAACACTGCCTACGCCAAACAAGTTCTACATGGTACTTGGCGAAAAATTAGAGCTCATGACCCCTTGATAGTCTTTCCAGCGCAACCGTCAATCATAAGCGATGCCCATTAACTTGGCTGTTGCGCAAGAGTTTAGCTCAGCGAACCAGAAAAATCCAAGCGAATAGTGGTGAATAGTGCACGGGGTCATCGACGTGAGCTCAGTTTCCTCAACGGAGTTACTGGCCGTGATATTGTTTTTCCCGGGGGACTTTATAATTTGCGTTACGCCTTATAGCAAACAAATTAATTTCAAAAGATTGAGACAGTACCTGCGTAGTCAATTTACCGCGCTATATAACTAAAGGCTTGCGATATTCTTCAGTATTATATGCTAATAAAAATAAGTTTTACAGACCACTATCAGTTATTCAATTAGATTTTCATTGTGTTATAAAAAAATTTAGTTAGGAGATCCTCCTTGAAGATGAAACTTGTTTAAAACTATGGAACACAATTTTTATTGGTACTCTTTGAGTTAGGCCTAAAGAGTTTTTAGTAAGAAATGGGGTTGAACAATATTCATCTTGTTACCAGGAGCTTGTAATAAACATATATTTTCTTTACAGGCCCCAGTGATACTCTAAAGATGGCCAAGATAAACCTATTAAGACACCTTGTCTTAGCCCTGATGCTCTATAGTGTGGCCACGGCCAAGGAACATCTGCGTATCCGAAGGCAAGCTGTGGAATCGGTGACTGTCGCACTTCCGAATGCTAGTAAAGTTATTGCCTCCGAAGAGATTGAGACCCAAACGGAAATCCCCAATTCGAAGGCAAAGCCAACCGAAATCAATAAGACTGAGAAACCCATTGAGACAGTTGAGACCCGCAACTCGGCTTTTGATTTGCCGGCCAGTTCTGATTCATCCAGCCCCTTGGGTTCCGAGGAGGATAATATCTACTATGACAATGCGCCAATAGATTGCAATCCCGATCTTGTGGGCTTTGAAATTGTGACAGGGTAAGTAATGATAGCTTAGGACTGGGTAATTATCTAATAAGTCCCTCTTAAGATATGTCTTCTCGGCTCCCGAGAAACTGATGGACTCCCAGCCGGGCACTCTAATGCTCACTGATTGCCTAGACACCTGTAGGAAGAATAAAACTTGCCAGTCAGTCAACTATGAGACCGGGCTTTGCGTGCTGTTTTCAGCACATGCTGATCAATTACCGGGTAAGCTACTTACAGCGTTAAACAAACTACCTCACATTTTAATCATAATTATTTGAAAAGGTGCCCTAACAAAGTCGCAGTTCCCCGTATTCACTATCTATGCCCAAAAATCATGCCTCTCCGTAAAACCCTGTTCGCGAGCCTGGTATGTCGATCGTGTACAAAATTATAAGCTCAAGACGGAAGTTAAGCGTACCGTGTCGGTGGCGTCAAGACGCGAGTGCTTTGAACTTTGCCTAAGCGAAACCGAATTCACATGCAGGTAAGAACTTTTAGGAGTATAGTGCGAAATATTCAATCTATTGTGCAGTCGAATTAGTTTTGGCCACCGCCATTTTGTCAGTTAACTCAAGCAGAAGATCTCCTTAATTATCCTTTAGTGGATTTTATTGCCTATTTAACTGGTCGTTTTTTATTTCCCTTTTATGTCCTATATAGATCTGCCAACTATGATCGTGTGTCTGGAGCTTGCGAGCTAAGTGAGTTGGATCGTTTAACATTAGCCGGCTCCAATGCCTTCCAGACAAACGAAGGGTCCGACTACCTTGAGAATCACTGTGTCGATGAACCCAACAAGCTGTGCGAATTCAAACGTCTTCGTGGTCGCATTTTAAAGACGGTTGATTCTGTTTACCAAGAAGTCAGCAGTATTGATGAGTGCCGCGAGCTGTGTCTCAATTCGCCTTATAGGTGAGTCGCATTTCATACCAAATTTTATAACTTAACTAAAAGTTAATTAACTAAAAGATTTGTTCTCTTATAAATGAAGATTGTAACAACCCCCATTTCCTTGTATTCCTAATAATTTCTTTAAGGTGCCACTCGTATGACTACAATGACACTGGAGATATGGTTTGTAGATTGTCTCACCACAGTCGTGCCACTTTGGCCGATGTGCAGGAACCCTTCCTGGAAGTTCCCGAGGCCTCGACCTATGAACTGAGTTCCTGTTACAACGTCACCATTGAGTGCGGCGGGGGAGATATGCTGGCACGCATTCGCACCTCCAAACTGTTCAGTGGAAAGGTGTACGCCAAGGGATCTCCCAAATCCTGCTCAGTGGATGTTAAAAGTGCCCTGGACTTCGAGCTGCGCATGAACTATCACGATCTGGAGTGCAATGTGCGACAGAGCACTGCCGGTCGTTATGTGAATGACATAATTATCCAGCACCATGACATGATTGTGACATCCTCCGATTTGGGCTTGGCCTTGGCCTGTCAGTACGATCTGACCAACAAGTCGGTTAGCAATGGCGTAGACTTGGATGTGCGTGGGGACATCATGCCGGCACTTTCTGAGGAGGTAATTGTGGAATCACCTAATGTTATCATGCGGATTACCTCCCGGGATGGTTCGGATATGATGCGCTCTGCCGAGGTTGGCGACCCGCTGGCTTTGAAGTTCGAGATTGTCGACGAACAGAGTCCCTACGAGATTTTCATTCGGGAGTTGGTTGCCATGGATGGCGTGGATAACTCGGAAATTACCTTAATTGATTCAAATGGCTGCCCGACTGACCACTTTATAATGGGGCCAATTTACAAGGGCTCGGTTTCCGGCAAGGTGCTGCTCTCCAACTTCGATGCCTTCAAGTTCCCATCGAGTGAGGTGGTTCAGTTCAGAGCTTTGGTAACGCCATGCATGCCAAGTTGCGAGCCCGTCCAGTGCGAACAGGAGGATACTAGTGGTGAATTCAGGTCACTGTTGTCCTATGGCCGAAAACGCAGATCGCTTAACTCCACAGGTGAGTTAATATTTGATAAGTTTCTAGACGTCAGAAAGTCATAATTTTCAGATATTTTTATTATTTTTGAACTCCAATAGTCTCCTTTCTAAAAATTTTACATTTACCCTACTTCTGAGAAGACCAATTTATTTGTATTAAAAAAATCATAAAAATTATGACCAAAAGATATAACTTTTGCACTACTTTTAAATATTTCCCATTCTCTAATAGATGATCATCCCAGACCACGTCGCGACATCGACACTTCAAAGAAATCCGCGCCTAGCGACATGCTGCTGGTTCAATCTATTCAGATAACAGACAAATTCGGATTCAAGCAAGATAAGCAAGAAAGCGGGGATTATTATGATGGAAATGAAACCACATTTACGGCCAACGAAGAGGGGCATGGATTTTGTGTTAATGCTATTGGTAAGTACACTTTTAGGGTCATAAAACACTTTTAAGAGCCACTTTTTCTGCTAGATTATTCTAGACATCAAAAATAACTTGACCTATTACTAACAATAACGTTTGCCTTTTTTCTTTTTTTTATTACTAGGTCTTATTACAGCTGCCACCATTTTCTTGCTAACTCAGTTGGCAGTGATCGCGATCTGGACTTACTGCTACCAACGTCGTCAGAAACTCCAGCCGTATCAGCATTCTTACTAAGCAGAATCGCAATATTCTTTTACATTAACATTAACGTCTAAGCTTCAAAAGGTGCAATCAATATTTACGCAACGTTATGCTAATTAACTGCTACGAATACCCGTCGTCCTGATACAACATCCGCTATTTGCCTTATCTAGTCAGTGCACGATTTTAGAGAAAATGAAATTTATGTGTCTTGTTCGGTGGAATTCAGATTGTTTGCATTGCAGCCATGGCGTTTTGAAACACTCGTGTTAGGTTTGTGTATTCTTCTAACAGATTCCCTACTTGTAAAGGAAGTTCGACACCTGCCTTGAACTTCTTTTGTGACTTCGGAAGTTGAATGGTTGACATTTGTAAAAACTAATACATATTACATTTACTTTCTCGAATTAACACCTTATCATCTGTATCGAATGCTACTTAGTTAAGTTAAGCACTATAATTTATTACATATCAATGACAGTTTAATGTTTGCATTGGACCCCTTTAATTTTATGAAACGAAACTCATCTTATTATTATTAAACATTAAGATTTTTAATGAATTATATACGATGTGTACTTATTTTTGGTCGGGTGTTAAGTGAAAGAACTTAAAAAGCAAAATGATCATGCAATAAACATTTTTGAAACTATTTCACTTGGTTTTCATATATGGAAATGAGCTTTCTATGAAGAGAACACAATAAAAATATTATCATTTTTATTACTTGCATTTGGAGCACCATATATATGGGAATGGATGAACAAAAGTCTGCCTGCCTGGCCTTTTACCCACGCATAACAAATTGTGCGAATTGGAGTTGGAATGCAGACACCTGCGAATTATTATTTATACTTCAATAAAACTTAAAATGCATCCAACTGTAAAAAGCGACTCGAGGGCTTCCAGGAACATGCTCACTTAGAGTCGCCCAAAATGCACGACACACTCGCCAGAATCGTAATCCTCGGCAACAAAAATGAGGAAGGGAAGGCAGCGATTCACTTTTCGATGTGGGCAGAGAGGCAGAAAGGTCCAAATGTCGTGCTTGTTTTCGTAAGTTTTCCCAGCGACTCGACGTCCCATCTTCATTATGGAGTATGGGGTATGAAGTATGCTGTATGGTGTATGCTGTATGGAGTATGGCGATGGTGATGGCGTACACCTGTACGAAGATCCAGCAGCTGTATAAGTATCGTTAGCCGCAGCGCTTGTGTGAATCATGCAAATAAATGCACCCTCAGCACAACAGGAAACAGGCTTCGTGCAGATTTGTATCTTTATCTGCTGGAGGAACGCTCTTGCATACGGGAAAGTGACTCCTGTCCAATCGTCTGCCCGTCACTCCACTCGGCTCCTCTAGGTGACTGGATTCCTCTCAATTAATTTACTTAGCAATGCGCCTTCAACGACACTACTTCAAGTAGTACCAGTACCAGTACCAGTGCCAGTACGAGTACTTAAGAGCGCCACAAGATTTTAGATCGCTGGCGGTACTTAACGCTAAGTTCTAGTTGTTTTTAAGGCATAATCTAAAAAGATTCTTAATTAAAGCATGCATGCAAGGCGATAAAAATGAATGTACGTTAGATTTGTAATGATGGTGCCGTGGTTATTTTCCTCGCTCAATTAGAGATTCCCAGTGTCGATTGTGCTCCGTCAGCACACGAAATAATTGGATGTGTTCGCCAATGGCACAGCATTCGTGCTAAGAATTGATCACATATGCAGAAATTAAAATGCATCACGTTCGAAGGATGCATAAGAAGTTTTGCTGGTTGAGCTTTATTGTCTTAAATCGGCGTGCACATTTTTATGGCTAAAAACACAGGTGCTGCTAAAAGAAAGAGCATATAATAAGATGTCGCAAAAGGTAACTCGTTTTCATGCAAAGACTGAAGGCCGTTCTCTGGAATTATTAGGTGTCCCAAATAAATTTATTTTTAAAACCACGTCATTTGTGTACGTTCTTTTGTGGTCCCATTCTAATGCTTTCAAAAGTGACTTAATAATGGACAATGACTATTCCGTGTCTTGGAGAAATATAGCAATCGTAGTTGAAAAATTATGTAATAAAAAATCGATAAAAAAACAACATAAATAATTATTTCCTGTAAGATTGGTCGTATATGCAAACCAATATATATATATTTTATTTTTACAATAGGAAAACATGTACTTAGATTAATATATGAATTGATACAATTTGTATACTATATCCGTTTCAAGTATAAATAAAATAATCAAATAAAATAATTAAAACAGTCGGCACTGGATTTACCTTGGCCAATCGCAAACCGAATTTACTATTTACAGCAGACTCCGCATGGCTGTTATTGATTACAGCTCCTGACTACAAGCGTTTCAGTAAAATGGAACTGACTAACGTTTATGGCAACATTTAGGGTTATGATTCCGAATAGATGGTGCAGCGTTTGTTCTTTCCAACGGAAGCTAGTAAATTATTGTTGGGGCTCCAACTGACCGCATTTACCGCAGTGCTGCGAAACACAATGAAAGTCAAAGTAGATTTAAGGATTAAAAATGGGTGGGCAGGAAACCCGTTAAGAATTTAAGAAAGAATAGAACATACTAAAGAATAATTGATTACTTTTTTTTGGGGAGTGTGTTAGTGTGTTCTTTCTGAGATCAAAGTGCTTCTAATGCAATAGGACTCACTAATAAAGTTTTATTACCCACCTGTGCCCCTTGAGAGTGGCTTCTAGGAAACCATTCACATTCCAAATATATATAGCACCATCCGCTGATCCACATGCAATCTTTAAGCCGCTCGAGTTGAAAGAAGCCCGGGCAAAATCACAGCTGATTTTAAAGTGTTCGTTTCTGTTTGAATGAAATATAGTATTATTTGGTTGCATTAGGTAACAAGCTAGGCATTGACTTACGTAAACGTGGATATAACTTGATTTTTGCGTAAATCTAATAATTTAATAGTATCGTCTCTTACAGAGCATATGAGGTAATTGCAATCTGTTGAATTGGTATGTTATATTAATAATTGGGATTACCAATGCATTCCACTTGCCTTTTGACAAATCCAAAGAGGTGATTTTGGCCGGCATTAGGACATCATCAGCTTGCTTTTCGGTGCGTATATCCCAGAAGCGGATCTTCTTATCGTAATGGCCGCTGATAATCGTTGAACCCAGGCTGTCGGTGGTGACGAGATCATTGCAACTGGATCCAGCGAATTTTGTCTCTATACAGGCGATGCTGCGCAAATCCCATATCTTCAGAGTGCGATCATGGCTTCCGGTCACCACTTTAATGGGCTCTTGGACATATTTGGCAGCCATTACTTTTCCACTGTGACCCGTCAGCGTGTGCTTCAATTGGTAAGAATTCAAGGCATACAGTTAGCGCAGAATTACGTTATAGGGCAAACATCATTTTATGAAGATCTCAACACAGCATCTAAGTAGGTAGCGCAAAAAAAGAATAACAATAACTACTTGGGGCAGAGGACCGACCGCCAACACCTTTTCTGGCATCGCATATGTACCTTCCATTAGAAACCGGCTAATTACTGGAGGTAAGTATCTTTCTCTAGAACGGCGTGCAATTAAAAAGTGTCCGCAGACATTAAAGACACAGTAGACATTTAATTACGGCGATATAAACAAGGATCTAAAACACCACGCATAACTGCCGCGGAGAATTTATTGACATAGGTCGCATGGTGGGACATATTTTGGAGTTGCTACTGCCATCTTACAGTACTCACTACCCCAGAGCTATATACATATATGAATTAAAGTCATTGACACTTCAAAGCGTAGATTCTCGCTTAAAGAGCTGTAAATGCTTGATTATTTATCTTTCAACACCGATGCTTAATAGTAGAAACCAGATAAGATTAAAATGTCTTCCTGGGGATTATGTAAAAATTGTTGATTAATGAGATTTATAGGATCTGTCTGTGGTAACATAAAATTTACCACCAGGCTTTTAAAAATTAAGGGACGACTATAAATCTGCAGTGGAGCTTGGCAATGAGCAGAAAAAGAATCAAGGCCTGCCGCCTAACCTATTTTATTTATAATAAATGTCTTTAGCTAATTGCCAATTTAGGTTTCTTGAAGCTGCCCTTTAAAGGTATATGACTCTTTCTTTTCTTAATTAAAAGAGCCTTTGCATCCGATTTTCAACCGGCAACCGGTCAAGTCGAACGGTCAATGTACGCGCAGTGTGGCTTGAAACGCGGACCACTGCCTCCGCCTTGTAGCGGTGATGTCTCAAACATGTTTGACTGGAGCTACCCCAAAGTGGAGAATTCGAGAGCGGGGAGTTGGAGAGTTGCAGAGAAGAGTGTCATAGGCACGAAGAAAGAGTCGGTACTTATTGGCTCATCCAAGAGGCCGGTTTCTAACTAATAACATGAATTGAAATGTTCTCTTAAACAGTCCAATTTTAACCAAACCTGCGGTTTATTTGGCTTCGAAAACGTGTTGTCCACAAACCGGTGAGTTTAAAATTCTGCAAACCACTCCGCATTTTATCAGAATGCTTGCGTGGTAGGAAAGCTTGAAATGTCCTCTTTTTGAAGGCCATAAATTAAGCAAACTATTTTTAATAGATGACATATTACTAAGGCCTAATATGACAGGAATATAAATAACAACAACACCTAGGAACAGTCATATAAATCAAATAAGTCAATAGTAATTAAAATGTTTTAAGTAGCTAATATCTAGAAATATCAAAGAAAAATGATTCAATTTTAGAATACAAATTTTAAATATGAGTGGAACGAACACATATTTGTAATATATTATAGCATTATATTATAATCTTTAATTTTTGCTATTGTTGAGGGTTTTAGTTAGTTGACTATTCATTTAGATAATTTATGCTTTCGAAAGTTTAAAATTTTTTTTTTTGCTGTAATTGATCATTGTATTAACTTGTTTTTAGGTTCTTAAACAAGCTACCTTGGCTAAAATTAGATGATATGTGCTGCAGTGTTTACATGATATTTTAATGTAAACATCAAATTATTAAGGCTAATGAATATGATAAATACATTTCCGCCTAATGCTCAGGAACTTTTGTCTAAAGTTATGTTTTTGTGATTGAAAGTTCCTACGATTGCGGTGTGTGAAAATATTAGAGACGAAAAGTAAGAAAGGCGCAAGTATTAATGATAATAACTTGGCAATCAGTTGACTGTTTGATCGCATTGTGGCCAGAGGCCGTACAAGTCAGTGTGCTCATTTTAATGCTGCATCTCAGCGGCGCTATTCTTCAGTTACAGTTTCCAGTTGTGCGCAAAAGAACCGTTTAAATGTCAATCCAGAAATACCAGTTAGAAGAGAAGAGTCGGTGTATCACACGGATGAAGCTGGCGGAGAAGCAGGAAGAACTGCACTTGTATGTTTATTCGCATGCTGACGATGTGCAGCATAAATGGACGGAGTTGCGGATCTGGCCTGACCAGGCGAGAGATGAACCTTGGGGTAAGAAAGATTATGCTGCTGCAATTCAGGCCAACTGCCAATGTATTGGCCAGTTTCCCCCAAAGCTTTCATAGACGACTTTTAT